ATATATGCATGTCGTTAAACGGATGCAAGATACATTTGCTTATATTTAAATGTAAACATTGAAATCATACGATTAATAATAATAATGCACAATTTGTAAACTGATGAAAAGTATATTGAAACAAGCAAATAATTTTGTAAAGTATCTATATCTTTGTTCCGTTTCAACAAAAATTAGTTAACCGAATAAATGGATCTGACTTCAAAGAAAACGTGTGACGTTTCTCTCGAAAATCCGTGAAGCGATATTATGATGTATACACAATACATTCGAAAGATAGATTTTCTAAAATACAATGAGATTATTTATTTATAATTACTAAAATAACTTTGTATTTTCCAACAGACTTTCTGCTCCAATCATATAGTTTTAACTAAATTTTGCAATCTTAATTTAAAGTGATAAATATGTGTAAATTATCATAGAAAAAGTTAAGTGAGTAAGAGTAATAGTAAACTTAAATATGTCGTAAACAATAAATCAATATTCCATGGAAACATTGACAGTTGACAGTCAGTTTAAATTATATGTGTACTCAGTCTGTACAGGTAATTAGGTCGCTTTCATATACGCTGAAAGTATAAAAATAATAATTGGGACATTAACATCGATTGATATCTCGACAATTTTAATAAATATGTGTAATCAAATTTATGAATATCATAATTAAATTGGGCGGACTTCGACTGACTGTTTTAAAAATTTATTTCTGTTGTAGATTGTAAAGAATTAAAAAAAAAAATGTAATGGTTACATACTCAGTGCAAGAACTGGTCAAGCTAAAATAAAATATTCGTAAAGAAATAAGAAAGTTGGAGCCAGAAATGCATTAGAAAGAGTCATTTAAATATATTATTTTCCACACTTATATCAAAAAAATTATAATAAACTATACTTTCATCTAAAAAAAAATACAATTGCAAAAGTTATATGTATTTTACATCAGTCAGTCGAAGTTGGCGCAACCTGTATTTATTTGAACATATTTACTGGAAACCATTTGCGCCGAAGGGCTATGAAGTATGTCTATAAGACATTAAATAATTTAAATGATCTCAAAACAATTTTTTGTACATTTTATGTTGACCAGTCACAAAAGTTTGGCAAAATATTTTTGGATAGACCTAACATCTTAAATGTTGAAACTATACATACTTCTGAATTTCCTCATAACAAATATACTTGCTGCATATTTAACAACTTTCTTACTTATATAATAATGATTAATTATAATAGAATAAAATGTAATAAAACTGAATAAACATAAACTAAATGTATATATACTAAATTATTTTTTTCTTAATTGTGCCATAATACTATTTTCATTGTAATTTATTTATTTTGTAAATTGTAACATCATTTTTGTTACATGTTTAATAAAAAAAATTCTAAATTTATTAAAAAAATGATATTTCAATTCTTGTTTTTTACCTAATAATTTAATTTTTATAACGTGTTCATTCTTAATATGAACCAAATACCAATAATGAGTAAATATTATTGCTATATTAATTAATTATTATAAAATAATTTTGAAACCATTACAGCAGTTTACTTTTTTGGTAATTTTTTGTTGCAATAAATATTATTACTTCATTTTAAAAGTTGTTAATCAAGTTTTTTTTTTAATAATAGAAGATAAAAAAATATATTTATTTATGAAATAGCTATTTAAAAGTATACGAGAACAATTATCCTTGAACATCCGATAATTGTATTAAATTCCAAGGATTCCCAGTAGAAATTAATAATTAAATGAAACCTCATAATTGACTAAATATATACAAAATAAATTATATTTATCTATTCTAGGTATTCATACTAAAGTCGACTCATGATATTCTAAACTAGAAAATATTACTTCATCAATATTAATTAATTTCGATATGCGAAACGCAAATTAATTTATAATTGACTCTCAGCTTGGGACAAAGACATCAATCATTGATTAATTAACTGAAATATTAATTGCCCGATTTAATTTCTAGATGGCGTGTCCTCAAGAGACGTTCACTGCATTCTTGTGAAACGGCGGTGGTAAGAGAAGCCGCCAATATTGCTCCTTTTATTTGAAATAAAAAGAGAAGCAACAACATTGCTCCTATAAAAGAAAGAATCCAATATTAATGTTGCCTTACGCAATGCACTTTATAAATGTCATGAAATTAATGCAACGGCAAACTGCGCGCATGCAATAACGATGTTTTTCTTTTCATTTACCTAACAATCAGAGTTTCTTATTCTCTTCGGAAACTCACTTGGTGGAGCCTCTGGTAATTGGCATAAACTGCGATTGATATTAAAATTCCTTGATGATGATCATCGCGTGGCTCATCGTTAATCATTTTTTATGTTCGCTTGGAAATCATCGGCAGATAAAAAAAGCAAGTCAAGTTGTTGTGTGCAATAGAACATTTGATTTTAATAACCAAAATTTACCTTGACACACATGATATTACTATATTATCTGTTTGTTTATAGATAATTCATCCGAGATTTTTTTAAATTTTTCTTTCGTGTTTGATGAAAATTATCGGGATTTTTAGACAATTGCTAGTTACTTTTTTTATTATATAGATTTCTGTCTGACCTTCTTGTTTATTGCAGTAGCATGCATTTTCGATGACCGATTTGACGTTTATTCATATTTACTTATTTTCCACTTTCCTTTGAACTTGTCGGCACTAACCTTGTCTTCTCGTTTCAGTTTCATTGATATATTAAATATCTTTATTTAAATAGTAGTTTTCTTACAAATATGAAACGAAATTATATTTTTAAATGATCAATTTTATCATATTCATTGAAGTCATGTAGCATAAGAATAAAAATGTACAGTCTTCGATCAGCCCGAATTCAATATGAAAAGCTAAATTTGAATGGAACTAAATAAATTGTAAACAATTAGTACACATTAGATTATCTCTATTTGTGCAGTTCATTTCTATTTTATTTAGTTCCTCAATTAGACGGGTTTCAAACAGGCAAAACTGAGTACTATGCGACATATTGCTGTACTTTGAACCAGAACGAATGATACAATGATAGACTTCAACTACAAATTATTGTATAATCATTATATTTTTTTTTAATATTTTTTTTTAAAACATAAATTGTAAATATATTTATATTTCGACTAACAGAACAGAACCACCTACGAAGAAAATTTGGTATATTGGTGTTTACTTAAAGAAAACAATCTATTTACAAATGCTATCATCACATGCATACAACATTTTCTAACGAAAATGCTGACAGTTCACGAGGTTGAAGACTTATGAAACATACTATATTTAATATACCAATTAGTGGTGAGTAATTATAAATTTCCTTTCCGTGTTGATATTCACGTAAGCAAATATATAACGGACGTATGCGCAAATATTATATTTAATTATTGACGATTTAGTATTGCAAAATTTTCAGCGAAAAGTCAATGAGCTGTCCGCCAATAAAATCAATTAATCGCAATGGCTTTTTTTGTACACGAATACATTCAAAATCAAATAGTCAAAAGTATTACGCAATTGTATTATCCAACTGATGGAATACTCGTATTTGTTAATTTTTATCTTGATATTTGACTAAAACCTGAGGCAACAGAGGTACTCACATTACCATTTACATTTAATTAACTCTCTGTCATAACCTTCGTATTCCATAAAAGCGACGAGACAGGATCGAAATTACGACCGAAATTTTAATTGCCAGTTGTAATTTTTTGTTTTTAGAGAAAAAACGGAAATTGCAAATTGGTCGTAATTAAAATAGGAAAAGCTGAATGCGTTGTCTGCGGTCCATTAACAGGTTGCGTTCATTCATTCGGCGATGAAAATAGAATTTTGTTTAAGAGCCCCTAGGACCACATCAAAAGCAGAACAGATATTGTGTTTCTTCTCAACACGCACTTAAGGCTAATGTAAATATTTACATTTCGCAAATTTTAATATTTAGTTTCATTTATAATTATACTTCAAGAACAATTCACGTCAATGAATTTTTCATAGTTTAAATGTAGCTTTTGAACAATTCACTTAATAAAAGACATTTCAAATATAAGTTTATGGTTTTTATAAAATTGTTGTAATATAAAATATTGTGCGCAAAAGTCAATCAATTGAAGGTTGCATCAAGTCATAACAGATTCTTATAAATAGCCGTATTGGTTATATTTATAAGAAAATAGATAAAATAATGGGTGGGACGTTAGCAGTGAGATTGATGCTCAATACTAAAATAAGCAAATGGTAAGGAAAGAAATGTTTAAAAAACGATTAGTATATATATAGTGGATTTTGATTAAAATATAGTGAAAATCAAAAGAAAGCATATAACATAGTATGTATGTCATTCAGAGAAGTGGATATAATGAACAAGTGAAGGACACGCCTTGAATAATTCGACGAGGAGTAGGAGATGTAGTATAAAGGTAAAATTTCTTGTGAATTAAAGATTATTCTTTTCCAAACTCACAACTTGCCAGATGTAGTATATACAAAATGTATTCTCTAAAGCTTTAGTGAATTATTGTTTTTGTCAAGGTGATATTAATTATATTGGACATATAAGTTATTTTGATTTTTTTTTAAGTTTCCACATAACTAAATATGATATTAATTCAAATATTATTGTATCAAATAATTAAAAAAATAACAAAATTCATTTAAATTCATTTAAATATAATAATATTACATAATATGAATAATTATATTATGAATTAATTAAATTTATTGCTATTTACGTCCAAATTTGACAATATTAAATCTATATTTTACATTAAAAATACAAATCATAAATAATACTATGTTACAAGAGCAGGTTTTAAGATAATATGTTTAAAATATTTAAATTATTGTATTTATTACATGAATATAAAAAACATACTTAAAATTAGTCAAAAATATTCATAAATAAAAAAAAATGAATTTTCTCAGTTATAATATATGTTTAATAAAAGAACATATTTATAAAGACGCAGAATGAAATAAATGTGAACTTACCCAATTCCGAGATGATGCTCGTGAGAGGTCTCGCCTCGTCGGTGTTAACATTATCGATCTCCACGCAAGATTCGTAAAAATGCTTCAATTTCCATTTCACAGTATTCGTATGTAAAGGTAATGGCAATGTGGTTATCAAATCACGAATTCTTGTAGCCTCTGCAAAACAAAACAAAAAACATATTTATGTACTAACATTTAATTTTTAAGTACGTAGTTTATTCACTATATTCAATATATCACTACAGCAATAATATAGTATATTAGGTGGAAGAAATAAATGATATCATATAACATTCAATATATAATAGCAATTTTTATTTATTGAATTTAATACAAATCATTTACTTGACTTATAAAATACATAACGACCAATTCTAATTAGGCAACACAAAATTGTGGGAATATTTTTAACTGTGAGCAATTTCCTACTTTCATTAACTAAATTAAATTTCCTAATTAATGTTATTTAACTTGAAATACAATAACGAAAACGCGGATGAGAGTCTACTTATAAATCGGATATAATAAAATCTATTAAATATTTGACTTCCATCATTCTATTAATTATCATCAAATCCTTTATTATTATTTTTTGTTTTTTTAAAGGAATTATAAAAATTTGTAATTAAAAAAAAACACGGTAAAGAAAATCAAAGAAAAAATATATCCAACAAGATTGTTTAAACCTTTCTACAAATCCATTTTTTTAACTTCTTAATAAAGATTATTTTAAACAATTACTATTAATTAAATTAGTACAATATAATTTAGTTTTTTTGTTCTAATAAAATGTAAGGATATAACTTAGAAGATATTTTTATATCATTGTTATATATTGTATCTATAACCTTGATCTTCAAAATGAATCTAACAAAATTTTACTTGTTTTGAAAACAAATCTGTGCAAAATAGATACTTATTTATTTCCATAATAAATAATCGTTCCAATTCCTTAATAAATGAGAAAGTTGTAATAAAAATGTAAATTAACAACACGAGATCGAGACATTATACTAATAGTACAAACTTTTCAAACTCAAATAGACTTATATGTCTACAGAGTACTCGTGAGACACACCTAGAAGATTCTTAAAAAGGTCAAGAGTAAATTACTTGTAAATCTCTTGAAGTAGGCGACTATTAATTATCGGAACCGTTTACAAAATACGTTGCTTATAAACAATAATAGTTTGCGAATAAATATATCTACATACATATTCAACAAAACTTTTATGAACAATCAAAAGATATAGACAAATAATTGTCTTCAATGTGTTTCCATTATTTAAATATACATTCGAACTATGTATTTGTTTATACTTGAATAATTTGTTGAAGAGTTTCTAAATATTTTACATCTGAATTATGTTTTAAACAGGAAATGTGAAAATATTTGTGCATAGTAGACATTTCGACGTAGGATGAGTATATATATTCTAAAACGAAACTTGGTACGTTCGTGTATATAGGAAATCAAATACAGGATACTCTGCAAAGCACTCGAACTGACTACATACCTTGTTGTCGCAGTTCCTGTCTCTGATTCCATTTGCTGTAACCATCCGGAATGGTCCTATGGGACATCCAACTTCCGCATGCCCAATTCCACACATCCCTGCACTGCGATGCACTTTGATTTAGATAGAGCTGAATCTGTAAAGTAAATATAAATAGAACAAATATACATTGCAATAGTTTTATAGTTCATGATGTTTTTTTTTTATAAAATACTAGTATTTTGTAATATTTATAATATTGGCAGGAAGTCTTTGGTCCATAACCCTTTGATACCAAATTAAGAACAATAAAAATCAATAAAAAAATATAATCAATAACAAATATTAAATTAATATTTAAATAAAAATATCATTGTAATAATCAACTTATTGTATTCCGCCCAAAATAAAGTCTATTTTCATAATTCAACTCAGTAATTTAAATTAAATGTAGTTATATGTCGCAGAAAAAATGATAACAGGTCAATCCAAGATGTTTTTCTACACTTACTCATTCTTCGGAAACTCGCAATTTTTTTTTGTAAGTTTAAAAGGGTGTCGCGGTCCAAAAAAATTGAGAAATGCTGGTTTACAGCATTGTTTGTGTTGTAATTTACGACAGACAATGCGAATCTAAATTATATAAACGTGTTAATCAATTTACCAACGTTGACTTGAACACTTGTTCCTTTAATAATTGAATTTGAAAAATCATTTGTAATCTGCTAACCATGCTTAAATCTACTGCTTTTATTGTAATTTATATGTATGAAACCATCTCCATCAGAAGAATATGTGTTTTAGAACGTCAGTAGAGTTTTTTGCCCGGACGCTTCAGTTATAAACTTCAAAAGTTATTTTTTGACGAAACTACGATTTTATGTATACATTTTTAAAGAAAGACCTGTAGTCTGTAGCCCTTTGCAGCATATCAATTTGTTTTTATTTACTTTTTATGTAGAGTTTGTAGTATGGTGCAATATTGCAATAAATATTATTAAAGTTTTAAATAAGCAATAAGTTTTCTCTGGTTTCAGTTTTCGAACAATACGATTTTCGTTAAGTTATATTTTGAATATAGTTTGAATATTTATGTTTCAATCTATATCTATATATATATTTAAGTATTTAATAAATATAATACAATCAGCATTAAAACTTCACTTTTTTTGCACCTTAATGACCGAGCTATATACTTGGAAATTTTTCTTTTTGACAAAAATATAATTTAGAACAATTCGATTTTCGGTAGGTAGGTACTAATTATATTCGACAAGCAATGTTCCACTGTATTGCTATGTAAACGTAAGTAAAGTTATATGATTAAATATTCCAAATATTATAAAAACAGAGAAAATATTTCATAATCTATGTTTTTCATCTCCAAAGAAGATTTAACGAGTTATTTGAAACAAACAACATGGTACTTAATATGAAGGAAGCAGTTACTTGCGTAAGTAGATTCATCCGACGATGTTTATCAATTATTTGATATAATTGAGAAAGTAACGTACGTATGAAATGCTGATATTTTGCAACAATGAATCTTATTGTTTGAAGCGAAAGCTTTTAATCTATAAATTCCATTTTCCAGTTTTAAGAAGAATAAAACAACAATTATGTAATTTAAGATTAAAAGATCATGTATCTGCTTAAAAATAAAGTACAACTTGGAAAAAACGCTTATAAACATAATTATTTATTATATAAAAGTAGCTTAGTATAAGTATTATAATTAATTATAAATATATGAAAAGTAAGAAAATATATCAGCAAATTTCTATAACTAAAAGACTTTAGTCGATATATCTTTGTTCTAAAGGAGCAATAAATTATGTAATTACTTATATCGTTTTCCTGGAAGATCTATTTATATTTATGCTATAATAGATTTTGGCATGTATAATGTTATTTCCACTGTCGGTTTTCCAGGTTTAGCAATTACTATGAACTGAGGATACTAATTAATATTAATGATAGTAGCTTTGTTAGCGCACTAATTAGACGTAATTATCAAAATATTCATTTAATGCTAAGTGCTTTGACATAATTCAATTATATATACAGTAAAACCTGTTTTTATGCGGTGGATAGAGACTATATAAAAAAATCGCACATAGAAAATACGTTAAAGATTTACGATATACATGAGAAAGTGCATACAAACAAAATAAATAGTTAAATTATATATGCATTTCATATATCGCATAAAAAAGGACCGAACAAAAACAGGTTCTACTGTATTTTCAATACGCACGATGAATGAATATAATGCAATAATCATTTAGTACTATCACTAACTCATTACTTATTTAAATAAGTTGTTTACTTAATTAACCGTGCAAGTATAATTTTTACTTGTTTCAAGAGAGAAATTGAAATCCAATATTTTTATAATTGATTCAAATAATTCGATCCATGTAGGTTTGAAAATGAAATCAATCAAATGTCAAAATAATAGTATAAAATTAGATATTTCGTATTAGATAAAAAAATTCTCGAGATGGAGATATGCAGATGTGAACAATATCAGCAACAATTAAAAAATTTCAGTTGTTACACATTTTCGACAAAAAATGAATTTGTTCCGAGAGTTCCATGTGAGTATGAATTTTAATTAATAATTATATAATAAGACGTAAAAACCACCATTAATATTTCCCAATAATGTTTATTACGCATTATAAGTCTAATAATAATACACGCATAAGTAAGAGTAAACATATGATTCATGGTAAATATATACAAAAAAATGCACCTATTATATAATCTCAAATTTTAAATATTGTTTACCAACCAAATTTATATAAGAATCTTAAGGCTTGTTTCATGTGAATTGTATACACATCCGCTCGAAAGCATTATATAATAATTACACAAGAGAGTAAAGTAATTATTAATGAAAATGGACTACTTTATTAGTCTCCATTCATAAATACAACGAATCGTTCGTTCGTTCGCACTAACTAGACGTGTCCGTAATAAAAACCACGTCCTCAGCTCAACCCATAATTTTCTTCTGAATGAACACTAAATTACGTAAAATTATATCTCCCTTTCAACTTTAATTAAAGTTGATAGCTTCATAATTCATTTCACTTCTTGCTTTTTTTTCTTGCCAACCAAAAAAGCAATCTCGTTTTTTAATTTAATAAATGACAATGACAAATAAACATACCTTGATATTGAAAGTTTTAATAATGATGAATAATTTTCAATATGTACAATCTTTTTGTATTCTTTGTCTAGTTCCGAAGGAAGCTTGCTTGGATAATCGTCGGAATACGCTGATGAATCCTGATCCCAGGATTAACAGGCCTCACATTATGGAGCCAAACGATAAAAATAAGATTATACGTGATTTGCCTCATAAGTGGATACCAATTTTACCAGGCCTCGTGTCCAATAAGTATAAAAACACAAACTCTCCTATGCCCATACTGACAGTACAATATTTTTTTAGACTCGTGAACGAATGCCGCAGCAAGTTCATAAACTCTAAAATATTTTAATATTATACGAATCAATTATCCTCTTCGACAACTGTTTTCTATTTGAGAATAAAAATAGTTTTTTATATACAGAATATTTATTGAAATTTTTTACAATAGTTCTCATTGTTTTTTTGATAAATTGAAATTTTTATTATAAATAATAAGTGAAACAGTTAAATATAGAAAAATAAAATTGTAACAGTCAATTGACCACATATTTATTGATCAAGAAGTAACGTAAAATAGTGAATGGAAGGGCAGAGTCTTCGGCCAATAGACCGAAATTGTATTTTTTTTTAATAAATTTATTATTTAAAATCTGCCACATGCTGGCAAAAAGTAAATAGTTTTGAAACTGTAACAACATATAACACTGAGCAGAATAGTTGCCCATTGAAAACCTTCAAACTTACATAATATAAATAAAAATTAATTTTAACAATAAAAACAAATAACTAAAAACGTTCTTATAATTTTAAAATCTATAAGGGAGATTATAGGTGTTATACCTTTTTTTCTAACTTCCTTTTTTGGTATCGCTCACTAAACTTAGAGATTTCACTTTTCACGGTATTAATTTAATTTGTGGATCAAGTTGTTTGGCACATACCAGGGAGCTTGCATCAGGGTACGCAGACACTTCGATTGAAAACGTCGAATTATGTCAAATTTTCAGTTGCTCGCTGTTCCCCAAAGTTGAATACCATAGGTGACACGTCGATTCTAACACTGCTATATATTTTAAAATTTGTTTTCTAGTTATAGCTGCGATCTTCTCCCAATCAACCAGTATAATTGAGCGAATTTGTTTCCTAGTTGCTTCCGTTTAGTTATTTTATGTTTTCCATGTAAGTCTGCGATCTAAAATTATACCCAGGTATATGGCATCATCAGCTTCTGGGATAACATTATTATTCAAAGTAACTGCAGGACAGGTTCTTTTTTTAGTGTGAATGTTACGTGAGTTGATTTAGTTTCATTAGTTTTAATTCGCCATTTTTTTAAACCATTTTTCAATATCGTTCAAGTAGTTTTGAAGTTCTTTTGTTGCAAGTATAAAAATTAGTATTTGTGAATGAATACATAAACATCGGAGTATTTGGGTGTTATTATCCATAATATAAAGATTAAGTAAACGTGATTATTTTCAATTTTACCGATTTACTAATAAAAATAATAAGTGTCGGTTATATTTAGAAGATTTATCGAAGAGAAATTGTTCAGTTTACGATTTACACATCCTGTACGTATTTCCGATAACAAGGTAATTTTGAAAACCAATAAATGTTTTACTGCTTATACGATTTTATAAGTCGAATATCCGCATTGTATGACGAAATACGACTTATATTTCTCTACTTAACTTACTTGATACATCTATTATTAGATTCAATTAAATAATCATTATATATTCTCTTTTTCAATTATAGTATTATGAAAATAAATTATTACGATAGTTTGATTATTTGCCAATAATTTTAATTTGTAAAACAATTTTCTATCTCTTAAAAAGCGACCATTTATAATATTTGCTACAAAAATGAAATTATATTAATGCAATATTGCAATTTTAAAATATATCGAAATCCCGACAGTGTCTTTTATTATTATAAAATATTAAATTTCTACAATAACATTTTTATGGTAGTCTGGATTTCGATATAGTCGGGATTTTGATTGTCGGGATTATGGTAGTCGGTATTTCGATATAGTCGGGATTTCGAACGTCGGAAATTCAATAGACGGTCTTTCGGTTGTCGGGCTTGCGATATAGACCCGTTAAAAATCTGCATAATTTAAGAAATTCTTCCTAAAAAAAATACAAAATATATTTACATAACTAGATAAAATCATCTTCCCTGTTATAAATACACATTATTCCTACTTTAAACAAAAAGAAAACATATTTTACATAAACCACAACAACATACGAATGAATATAATTTAATTCGAAATATCAAAACAAAACTTGCGGTTTTCTTCATGTTTTGTTGTTTGGTTTCAGATGCTTGTCTTCTTAGAACGAAAAAAATAAATAAAAATAAAAACATTGTAGGTTACTAAAACGTGAGATGTGTTATGGTTAGTTTCTATAAATAAAATCTAAATTGAATGTAAGTTAAAGCAGACAGAGAATTATTGGCACAGAGTGGCACTCCATATAAATGCATCATGCATATATACAGATATACATATTTATTTATGCAAACTTTCGTTGCGTTTCCGATATTGTCTTTGTCCGTGTTGCAAGTAAATATTTACATGTTAATGCTTTCCCCCGACAAATGTTCCGCTCATATTTTCGATGAGCAATTCACGAGCGAGTAACTTTTGTTTACGGAAAAAACTATTTTCAGAAACTAACGGACGACGTTGTTAAGATTATACAATATGTATTCCTCGTAAATACTAATAACTCAAGTCCGGCGTCTGTATAAATATCCACTTTGAATAGAACTACTAAGCATTTTTTTTTAATTTTTTTTATTGACAATTGTTATCTTACTTACAATTTCCATGTTTATATAATAAAACAATACATCGCCAATATTTCAAACAGGACTAATTATGGAATTCAAACATACAAAAAATGAACCGCGCAAAACGATAGTGAATTCGGACTCATCAAAGTAGGGGTCGCCCAAAATATTTAGGGGAAAAATTGATAACCGTTATTGGTTATATTATATTAACCCTTATTATTTTATTCATATATATGAATGTACTTCTTGATGACTTAGTACAAATTCCACTTAGGAAGACGAAGATTCCAACTAATCAATGCGTAACGACTATTGTTACACATTGATAATGACTACAGATATGTTAAGTTAAGTACAATCGTCCAAATACATTCTTCGGATTCTTCTATCTTCCCTTACCAAATATTGTACTCCCACTATGTTAATTCATTACTATAAATTGGATGTTTATGTATTACAACTAGTTAATAATATATGAGATCAACACTTGTATAGTTGACTTTCAATAAAAACACTGATATGTACAATAAAACTAAATAAAAATATTACATTTAATATTCATAAATCCCTCTAAGACTACACAACAACATAACTACGAGATAATCCAGTGTTCAGAGATTTCTTAATCTCGGGACACAAGATCGCAGAATTTTTTAAGTGCAAAAGGGAGCTGCTGATCAAAAAAATGAGAAACGCTGCTATAGAGTATTGATGTATGATTTAATTAAATGTTATTGTTTTTAGTGAAAACAACGTTTGAAATTTATGAATTAAATAAAAAAATACACAATTTTCAATAGATTTTTTTCTGATAATTCTAATAAACATTCTCATACAATAATAATAAAACAAAAAGTTTACAGCTGCGAAGGGCTCATATGATGAATTATAAACAATTATTATTTAACATTGAGTAAATCCAATAAAATTTCTTGTGGGAATTGATTTGATTATTTCTATTTGTCCTTTCGAAAACATAAATAATTGATTCAATTAAGAAATTAAAATAGAAAAAGTGTTATGTTATGAAAAGAATATTACCTTTAATTAAATATATTTGTAACTTTTAAAATAATAATGAAAACAAAACAATCTATTGATTGTACATTTTATTGTGTTTGTTAATGCATGTGGGTGTTCACCTGCTTAACCAGCATTATTTTATCAATTGCCGTTGGATGTATTCAGCCGATTTGATTACTGTTTAAAACTGCAGTCGTTATTTTGCTTATCTGCAGAAAAGAAAGATAAAACATGCACTCGTGTAAAAATAAAACGTGCATTACTCCATGCAATGCCATTTTTAGAAGCAACATTGAAGATTAGATTCTTAATGGGAAAAGCTAAGTATTCGTCGTTGCGTAATCAGAACTTTCTAATTTGAAAAAAAGGAAGTTTGAACCGTCTTATCCAGAACAAATATAGATTAGGTTTTTAATTGACTTTTGACGTCAATCATTCTTATAAACTTATAATTAGATTTGAAGATCTCTGAGAATTAATTAAAACGACTATTTATATCGAAAGACATTTAAATTTCTTAACAGTTACAAGACTATTCAAAAAAGTATTTAGTTTATTATTATCAATTCATATTCGTTAATTGTATTTGTGCATTTATATTTTGATATATTGTTTAATACTTATTTTTAAATTCATGCTTTAACATAACGTTTATAAATTTCTCTTTAATTTAGATTATTTCAACGGATTAAGAAAAATTTTAGTTTTATGAAAAAAATCTAAATTCGGAATTCATTCAATTTAAAAAGTATTAAAATAAAATAAACTTTAGAAGCATATCCTATTGTATTGTGATATTTTATTATTTATGAAAGAATTGATGGTGAAGAGTTTAATAAAGAAACGAAGATTATAAACTTTGAAATATCTATGATAGGATTTTGTAATAAAATAGAAAAACAACTAAAAATATATGCATAACATTTTTTATGATTAAATTTTTTTAGTGCTCGATAATTATAAACTTAAATCAGGTTTTAACTTAGTATGTCGTATGTCTTAGTATGTCGATATTTTCAAATTCACTGAGAACCTAGTATGAGACCTTTTTATACAGGTATCCTTCGCATACAACTTTTACAACATGGTTTTGCTCTAACGCGATAAGAAAATTACACCCTTTCCTGGTACAACAATGAGCTTATTTACATAACACGATATCATACAACTTTTTGGAAATTCCTGTTATGTACAATGCCAATGGGCAATTTTAACCTTATAAATGGCAAAGTTTGATGTGTTTACGTATAAGAAAATATAACGAAAATGAATTATCAAGTTTGAAATCGTGTAATATTTTGGATTAAGTTATATAATATTTTTTTAAACATTGTAAAAGCATAAATCTATGATCATAAAACACGAGATTCTAGGATTCTTAAAGTTGCAAAGCAAAAATATACCGTAAATGTTTTCATGTGTAAAGAATGCGCCTAGAAACAATCTACCTGCGCTACCTGTGAGGTAGAATTGGTTGCATAGAGAGAATTACCTACCTGAGAAGAGGCGCGTAAACAGGAGTCGCTCTTGCAAACTGGAAACCGCCGATGGTGAGGAGTGGTGGGCCAATTGGCCACCAAGGTTACGATGACAATAAGAAGGGTAAAGAGGAGCAGCAGCAAACCGCCCACGTAATACAGTCCATTCCGCGTAAGTCCACTTTTGTCCCGCAGCTTCTTTTCGGTCCTTCCCCACAGGACACGACCGCGGCTCTTCCTTTCCTCGATGCACGGGTCACATTCCGATGGGTTGCTGCCGCCGCCTCCGCCCTCGACGCCGTTGTTGTGATGATCCTTAACAGTATCCTTCAGTTCCGAAGACATTTCGCTCTAGCTATATATATATCTCTCTAATCAAACTCGATCACAAATGCATTGTCCGCCAGTTCGCATTACTTCCCCTTTACTTAATCACCAATCACTTGTTGCACACACGCACGCACTTTTCACTAATGGATTTCATTTGTAACAGTCGCTAGCAGCTCTTCTGCTGTAGTTCCAGTTTCGTGTCGTTTGCAGCTTTCAGGCACTGGAAAAAAAAATAATAAAATGCAGAAAAACGAAGTGTAATAGAACTACGGCCTCCTTTTTATTTTTCTATAGACTTCAGCAGCAGCTGTAACACCATTATCACGTCCCCAAAACTATTACCTGACTAAATAATAGATAAAAGCTACGGCGCATTCCAGCCTTAGGTGCAGCTAACCAACAAGTTCTCTTAAGTGCCCTCAGTGTATAGAAGCTCGCTCACTGACTAAATAAAAATCTGTTGAGGAGTACCAAGCGTCTAGCCCGCGGACACTTATCAATAATTTTTATCATCTAATCAACTTTAATTTTCAAGTTTCATCACTGCGCATTTCGGTCATTATTATGCAGAAACATTCATAACGGTACAACGTTTCATAACTGCAATTTATGCATTTTGAAACTGATGACTAGAATTTTAATTGTTTCTACATTCTACATTTTAGTATTGAAAATTGCAACGAAGTTATCTAGAAGAGTCATTCATTATAAATTTAATACAAAAATTTAATAATTTTATACAAAATCAAGAACTCAATTGAAAATTTTATTAAATCTCCTAATTACTAAGAAAATAATAATATTCCAAAATAAAATAGATAAACAATTTCCGTTTAAAAAACATAAAATATAATTACTACATAATTAATTACAATAAGTCATTGAACGCCTAGGAAATAACATTTGATTCTAAATAATAATAAAAGCAATGAGTAAATAATGCAAATTAAAACTTAAATTTAATGTGTTTATTCAACTTTGTACAAAAAAAATCAAAAACAGCGTACAGAAAATTTCTCATCTTACTAGAAAAATGTTGTTCATTTTATTTAAAAAAAAAAGATCACTAAGTAGTTCTAAATTTGTTGTTTCTGTTGTTTTTAATTATTTTTTCATATTTGTCACGTTTTTCATCTCTGGCAATTGTTCTTGAAAAGAAAATATTATTTATCTTGATTCATATAAACAATTGTAAAGAAATAATGAAACAGTTTTTTTTTAAATATATGTATAATATTGAAGGTATTGCAATAAAAATAATAAACAAAATGATCTACATTTTCTGGAGAAATGGGAATAACAAATTTTACGTTTCTCCCAAGAGATTTTTGATGCACTTATTATTTTGTAACCATTACAACAAATTTTAATATTATTATTAACGGCATACAATTTGAATATGATGTGTATGTTTTACTGAATGTAATCTTTTTATTAAAGGCACTACTTCTATATACATCGTGTTGTTATTTTGTCTCCAGTTTTGCAATTGAAATACCCGAGCAATTCGTAAATAAAGCACGTACCGAATAACGTTCCACTTCCACCGTCGATGTAATGAAATCATTCTTGAACATACGCAAATTCTTTGACTGCAGTTGAGTCTACGACGATCTTTCTTCTTGAATTTCATTCGTTGTAGTGAGGAGGAAGACGAAACGGTAGTCCTTGTGTATTCCCTTGCATTGTGTTTATTTTTAATCGACACGCTTGGCTAACAGCGCGTAATCTTCTGTTCTAATTCCAAAATGTTAATAATTGTTTAATTACTGTATTCTCAGAAAAAGAAGCTAGTAAATCCCACACACACACATTCTCAGCAGAATTTTTGGATGTTACCAATTATTTTAATCCGAAATTCATTATAAAATATATGGGATCACATGTTATTGTCCTTTTACAAAAAAATCTAGGTTTCTTATTATTCACTCTAATTTTGTAATTATTGCTATAAACAGAGCAATGAAACCTATATTTACTTATTAACTAGTTTTATATTCTATCCGATTTATTCTTTTTGCAATTAGTATAAGTATAACACATCTAATAGTAATGGATATTAGATAAACAACACAGATTTCTTTTTAATTTTAATTAATTAATAAAAATTAAATGTAAGTCATACTTGATAATCAGGCTATCTTATAAGATAATTAGATTTAATTATTTAACATGTTTTGGCCGAACTACATATACAATTCAAGTTATATGCATAATGAGTCAAAGCGTAATAATACGCTTTGAGTTCGAAATTAAATCCAATTTATTTTACTTACATTATCAAATTCCCAATATATCGATAGGACGTTACAACTGGACTCGGTTTAGGTTAAACAATAAAAATAACTTGACTTTCCTTGAGTATAACTACACTCTAAACCGGTTTGTGTACATATTATATAATAGATTGATAATACCTAGTGATCGAAAATATTCCTTAAATATTTGATTCAAGATGTTTTACTGCATTAATTCCAATTGCCGTACAGATTATTATTTTTTTAATTTCTTATCAAATTTGACTTTTTCTAATGTAATTAAATTTAAAAACTAAATTATTTTTCTTGAAACACGCTGTTTTACTTGCATATGCTATATATAGTATTTTTTGAAGAATTTAGATTATAAATATGGACGATATTAGATAAATGGTGTTTAGGTATATCAGCTATGTATGCATATACAAGGTCAGTTATCTTAATTAGATTACACATCAATTTAATTATAGTTTCCTATGATTATATATAGCAATATATTTAGGATATTGTTCTTATACTATTACATTAACTCACATTATCGATTAAAAAAATCTGAATAAAAATAAATTAAATACAAAATTATTTTCTATAATTGATAGTGTTCTTCCTTAATCACATATAATAAACTTGATCACACATTTTAGTATTTAACTATATACATTTAAGTATATTTACAGAAAAGCTATGACCTAATGACCTATGACCGGAATTATTATTTATTTTATGTTATTTTTATATAAAATGCATACATTAAATATGAAAATAGGCTGTTTTTGATTCAATTTGAAGTAAAACAAGAATATTTGCAAAATGCTATTGCAATTAACTCCCACTTCCTCACAACATGCACAAATTATACACTTATTTCATACATAAAATGATAACAGGAAGTTTAATCTGAAATGATGACGTAAATACGTTAAATATTTTACCTTAAAGTTACAATTGAAGACAATATGTGATAAATTATTATTATATTTACACATTTTCTTGGCCCAAATTTTGTCCTAAGTGCTTATTTTATAGTTATAGAGATTTCATCACAAATTGTAGAACAAAAATTACCCTTATACCGCAAAAAATGAAATAAACTAATGAGTCTTTGCAAAAATATACAGTTTGGTTCAGTAATGAGATATAATGAAATCGATAGAAGCACATTTTTGTAAGAATTACTTTTTGTGAAACAATTTAAAATAGAATAATTTAATAATACTAATTCCATGAAGATTTGTTTTATATAATATGAAAACTTTTATAATATCTTTATCATTAAACGCATTGCAGTCATAAATAGAGAAAATTCTACATTTAACAAAAAATGCGGTTTATTTTTTATCTACATACATGTTGATTACTTAGAAACATTTGCATTGCATACATTAACAATTATATGAACAACGCGTCAAAGATTCTTTTTAATAATTTGAACAAGAGCAGTTAAATGTTGTGCTAAGTTGTGCTATTTGCAGCACGTGGAGAAAACTGTAATTACGCGTATAATTAGTGCAAACGTTAATTAAAATTATTTTGAACTTGCGAAATGCAATCTCTAATATTTATTCAAATAAATTGGTCAATTTTAGATTTGAAATTCAATATTAAATTAATAAATTCTATATTTTCTTAATTACGATATTTTTAGTATTTCATTTCATAAAAATTTTCTATATAAAATGGAAATATTCCATCGTGTTTTCCCTCTACTTTTAAATACGTTTTTTAGAATTACAGCTTTTTTTTCTTACCCACAAATTGGAACTGGATATCACTACATCTGATTGAAATACATATGTTAAAGTTCACACGACCTAATTTATTAATGATGAAATGGAATATATCAAGGGCGGCCAACTTGTTTGTTCTTGTGTTGTGTCCTGGGATCGAATATCTCTGGACACTGTGGATTAACTCGTAGTTATGTGGTGGTTGTAGATATAAATATTTTTAAATAGTTTTATTGAATAATCATCAATTTCCTCAGCAAAAAAACATCGCGTCACTACGTTTAAGAAACATATCAATAAGTTTTATATTTTTCAAGAAATTGAAAATAGAAGAATAATAAATAAATTATGGCATATGTCTTAGCATATCTCCCTAACTCCATTTTTTATTCTCTAGGAAGCAGGGACTTCCCGAAATTGCCAGACATTTCTCTTCTTTCCTTCTACTTTTCTGTCACATACACAAACTACTGAGTTCATATCGCTTCCTGCATTATTCAAGATACACTTTTGCATAATACGTTGCCAAGCATTTTCTTTCATGTGTTTTAAAATGCATACCGTGTGGTGCGAGATTTACGAGAATCCATAAAACAAATTTACAAATTAAACCACTCTTAATTTCCACTTATAATTCATTTATTACAAAAATGTGGTCGTTATGGACTCAATGAAGTGTGGAAGTATACTTCTAATATTAACTTCTTTTTTTTTCAAAATATAGACAATAGAGTGTTTATCGAATAAATTTACGAGCAGTTCAATCGTAAAGAGATATTTATTTAGTTATTCAATTTACGATGTAAATGCGAAGTTATGACCGTCAACATATATATGCTTTTTTCATTGCTGCTGCGAAAACTTTAAACTCTTTAATGATAAATCGGATATAGTGAAAAAAATCACTAACATGAAAATATAACGAAAAACTTTCAAAAAATTATTAATAGAATTAATAATTTCCGCGTAATTCAATAGTTATTTTATATACCTAAATAAATTCAAACGAGGGATTCCATTACCGGTAAACGTTTAACCGGTTTTATCGGCCAATATGAAATTATCGTTAATTTCGGTATTTTTTGTTGACACGGAAATTTACCAATTACAACTAAAATCCGACGATTATATATGATTTAGAATCGTTCAACCATTTCTGTTTCATTCAATTAATGTGCCAGAAAAAGTGTTATTGATTTAAATATTTTAATTTCAATTTCAGAACATAAAATTGCTACATATACAATTGAATGTAGGATTGTACATTACTTAATGCCGATGTTACCCATAAATTTATGATAAATTATCTGCGCAAAATACTACTCTAATGAGGGAATTAAAAAAAAACTGCTTTCATCTCGTAAATATAAAGAAAAAAACAAGCCATAAAAATATATTTACTTATTTTAATTACTTTGGAAATTATTGATCCACGTGAATATGTACATTTATTGCTAAATTTGATGGTCGCATATAAAGTTCTTTATGACGACCATTAGATCCTTTGGGTGCCTTAAATGTCGTTAATGTTAGTAGTCTAAAAGGATTCCCTTCAAGTCTACTCAAACGTGTGTTCTTGCATACGTGATTATGTCCGTTGAAAGTACGGTTTCCGCATAAAAAAATAAATGCAGGTAAAATGCAAGAACACTCTTGCTTCTATGTGACAATCACTGGCAGTTCTATATTTATGTTTTTGTTACATAGTGTTGAGTTAAGTTTGACCAACCAGAAATGTCTGCAATTGTAACTAGAATTATATCTATCATAATATTTAATAAATCAATAATGTTCAGTTTTTTAATAATCTTTGCCAAATATAATGGAAATAATTAATGTTTTAAAAACACATAATGCAATTATTGTTTGTACAGTCTTTATTGTTAATCAAAAGAAACAAGTATAAATGATTTATAATTAACTAATTTTTATATGTTGAGTCAATATTTGAATTATTCATGCACAGAGGCATCCAACATATTTTCATGTTTTTTTGTTTGTCGTTTCGTTGACATATAATTGACTATACACGCTTTTACGACATAAATCAACTCACGCTGAAATAATATTACCAGACAGTTAATCTGAATAATGGAAGCATCTCGATTATTTTTCTCACGAAAATGTCAGTATTAATATTTGTAATTGGGAATTCCATTATTAACATTCAAATACAGGCATTCGTCAAATACATGTGCTTGGAATGGAACGTGATTTTATTGTAACAGTAAATAATTCATGTTTCGTGAAATTCCTGTAATTCATTTAATATGAACGCCGAGTGGTATTTCCGATAAACGCAGGACGATTGAAAGTAAAACACTTTCTAGTGTCGAGGATAATAATTGAATAGGTTTTTAAGGTTCCAACAACCAATTTGGTAAATGTATAGATTTACCGGTAAGTGTGTACATTAACCGATTTTATACATAACATATACATATATTTCAATAGAAATTAATAAAATTACTTTTTCATTAATTTACATATTTAGATACATTTTTATTTATTATTTATTTAGTACAAAAATTATAAATTGTCCATTAGTTGTAGTTATTAAATACCTACTATTATTTTTATTTCATATTATTTCTTTCTCTATTTTATAATTTATCATATAATAACTAAATAGTATTTATGACAATATTATATCATTTTCTTGCAACCGAATTAGAGAAGTCATAGATAAAAAATATAATGAATAAAGCAATTTAAACAGTCCAAGAAAATTACTTTTATGCTAAGATGGGAAACGATTCTATTAACTTATTAATGGTCCTTTCTGATACAATAAATACTTCTAAAAATATTACTCCAAATATTTATTCCACAAATTGTCCATTTATTTGGACACACGAAAACATAATAAATTTGATGAGTATAGGCGACGTCTTCCTCTAAACATTAAACGACTAATTAAACAATTATTATGTTGGCGATTAATTTAGTCGAAAGGAAACAAATAAATTCGATCGTCAAGTTTGAAATAAAAATAGCATTTTCGCTTATTTGTAATTCGAAAATTAATTATCCAATTAAACGTTTATTTGTCAGTGGCTGCTTCGTGCTATAACCTTGGTTGGATCGAAATTAATGATTATTCTATATACGATCCATTAGAGATGTACTTCCTATGAAACGTCCTACAAACAATGCTAATTGCATTTGTTTGAATATAATCAAGGCAAAGCTCAAAAAAACAATGATGAAACATATTTTGCACGTTATGTAATGTATTGAAACTAAGTTGATTTGCAAACAGATTAAATTAATATTGTAAATAAATCGAGCAGAAAAAACAATTTTCGTTGAATCTATAACGTTTTACACGTAGGAGCAAAATAAAATTGACACGAATGGTAGAGATCAGAAAAGAACGAGTAAAATAAAGAAACACGCGGATTGAAAAGAAAGAGGTATTGAAAAGAAAAACGAAACGAGTTTTAACCTACCTGTGGATTCACAGCAGACGCAGGTGGGAAGATAATTTACTTTCTAAGTTCGGGCACGGAATTTGGCGAGTCTTCTGGATGACACCGTACTGAGAAGACACGAAACACGCGCGCACATCCAACGTCGAAAGTACTGTAGTATTGTTGCCGGTGGGGCCGAATATTATGAATTCATACTGTAGTTTTGGGTATGATGATCGAGGCGCGCGGTTGACTTTCAGTCAAAACTAGTCGTCGCGTAGCTTAACTACCGCTAACTCTGCGAACGGAGTTCGCTCAAACTCCACGCAGACCGACTCACACTGCATAAAACGCGCATTCGCTGCAGCCGAGGAACACCTTCCACATATAATTTTTGTACTCTTTTTTTTTTCCTTTTCGTTCAAACAGACTGAACCTTATTCTCGTTCATCCGATATGAAAACCTACTATTGCGTTACCAATCTTGAAGGCATATCTGAATTCCGGTGAATTGAAAAATCTCAACGTTCGGCGCTTTTTATCCTGTGTCTGGTTGGCTTTACACGCGCGACTTAACTACCAAATTACCCCCCAGTTTGTTCATTCATAGTGCTTCCATTTATCAATTTGCACGCCGGCTCCCGCGTTCCTCCGCAGTAGCACCATGCCATAGGCATTAGGATTCAAAGGGGGAGAGAATAAGTAAATAAATAAACACAAGCGTCAACGTTTAAGATTATAATAGATCAAGATATATAAATACAACACAGCAATCGAGTCACAGTTGAACAAAGACATCCTTAAATCTAATCTATACATTCAATGTCCAGGTTCAATATATAATATATAACGTTCTCGTCTGAAGAAACAAAATTTTCATTTCGTCTCAAAAACTATTAAAAAATAATAATCTCTATCAACTAATATATATTTATATAATTTATTTGACTTATCTCCCTCTTCATTCTTGCTCTGTTTCGTCTTTTTAAATTATCAGTGTATGTTCATCCGCGACTCTTCAATATTAATTTCTTATGCGAAATACCGTCAATCGATATGATTCAAAGTTGAAGATTGACTGCATCACTTCTGATTGGCGTCGACGTGGTCGGCCTTCAAACCGACGGAGAAGCGATCCCACATTTTGGAGTAAAGCTTTTCTAATCCACCGGCGTACTGCTTGCAGTCGAACAATGGCGACGTTGTTCGGGCCGACCAGACCTTGTGCCGCATTGCTTTCAAGCTGTAACAAGAAAAATAAAAATTGAAAGATCTTATCGATAGAAGCACATAAAAGTATCATTTGCAAATGAATTTAATTTGCTTAAAAAAGTTAAATGTATGAAAAAATAGAATACTACATACTGTTCTTTATCTGTTCCTAATTTAATAGCGATGTCTTGATATTCCTGTCTAGATCTAGCAATTAGTTCGGGACATCCTATTGTAGCAAGCTGCGAGGCGGCTACTCTTGAAGCCAATGTCTCTCCGGGTAAGGTAACGACGGGAGTTCCTGTCCATAAAACATCCATACTTGTGGTGTGTCCATTACACAAAGGCGTGTCTAGGCACACATCTGCTAATTGACCACGTCTTACGTGTTCCTCCTTGGCAGCAACGTTGCTGAACAGAATCTTTCCAGCCGGCAATCCCAATTGCTGAGCAGTTGCCTGCAGATTGGGTTCTCCTACAGCTGGGAAGCGAAGCAACCACAAAACCGCGTTCGGAACGTTCTTAAGAATATGTACCCACATGTGTAAAGTCATGGGATCTATTTTGTACAATTGATTGAAATTACAATAAACAATGGCATCGTCTGGTAGACCGTATTGTTGTCTAGTGGTGACGACAATGTTCTGCGGTACTTCTTCTCCAGTTGCAGCCTTGTTGTTTGTTTGCGTCGTTGCTAATCCGTTCTGTACAAGAACACCATTTAAGCTAGTCTCGATTTGACCTGAAGCGATCATGGTCTCTATTGGCGTAGTTGTTGGCAACTCGGCGACTTTAAGACTTATTTCAACTGGCTTATGTGCATGCACTACTTCCTTGATTTCCTTCACCTGAGTGTTTTCCACCAAAGGCGATAAATCGGTAGCATTAATAATTGCTACATTATCAGCAATACCATTCGCGCCCTTATCGGAAACAATCAATCTCTCCTTGAGGTGAGGGAACATTTGCTTGTGGTCACCAACAAAGTAAGTGTACGGCATATATGCTAGTTTTTCACTGTACTGCGACTGCAACTCTAATGGGGATGTAACCGCATCCGTAATTAGATAATCCATAAAACTGGCTCCACTGGTTCCAGGGTATCCGAGCCACATAACTTGGACGGGTGCTGGACGCAATGCAAATATCTCATTTCTAGCGCCCTTTGTATAACCATTCATATTCACTAGGATATGAATACCATCTGCGTGAATTCTATCGGCTGCTTTGCCATTGCAGGGAATCTGAGATAAGTCAATAAAATGCTCTGCCTCTCTTGCAATTTTGGTGCGGAATGTAGTGCCATCATCTGGACTCAACGCGTAGCAAAATACTTCAACATTTGCTCTATCATGAAGTCCTGTAAATAAAGAAACGAAACTATGAATTATAGAAATCTAAAAATATCACGTTTTGACTCATCAAATTTATATATTTTTTCGCAAACATTCTTGCAATTTAAAGCAATTACGCAACACATGGAAGTGCCGTTATTTCAAGGAACAAAACTCGATACGATTGTAGTTCGTCGATAATGATTTCGTTAAACAAACATAACAAATTTCGTGATATAATCAATAATGGAATACCAACCTGGAACGGATTGCATTAAATGCGATGTAGGATGATTGCCGAAGTCGCTGCTTACGTATCCAATCCTGAGGCGAGACTTCAATTCAATTATAAATTTATACTGCGGTTTATGAAGAACGTGGATCTTTTCCAGACATAAGTTGGCGTGACGCGCGGCAATTGCTTTCCTATATTCATGTGATAACGGATACAACATGGAATGGTGAGGATGAACCGATGGTAAACGATTCTTGTCAAGCTGATCAGCTACAATGTTAACAAGTTTCTTCATACGATTTTCATAATCGGTCCAATCGCAGACAATCTGCAAGCAGTGTGCCAAATTGCAATAAGCGTCTGGGAAGTCTGGCTTCAGCTTCAAAGCGGTGCGATATGACTGAATGGCCTCCGGAATATTTCCCGAATCTTTGTGAATACTGGCCAAGTTACTGTGCGCATCAGCAAACGCAGGATTTATTTGAATTGCACGTGAATAACACTGCAAAGCTCCAGACACATCCTGCATTTCCTTTAAAGTGTTTCCCATGTTTGAATAAGCATCTGCGAACGTCGGCTGGATGCGAATGGCCTCTTTATAGTGCATTAGGGCTTCGTTCAGTTTACCCTGCTGCTGCAAAACAGAGGCCAAATTGCTGTGGGCAGCAGCAAACTCTGGGAAAACCTCCAAAGCTTTGAGATACAAACGAGTCGCCTCCTCGATGTACCCTTGCTCCCTCTTGATGTTTGCCAAATTGTTGAGGGAGTCTGCATGCGATGGACATAATCTCAGAGCTGTGTTGTAACATTCTTCGGCCTCAGCTACCTGCCCTTTTTCTTTAAGGGCATTTGCCAGATTGCAATATGCATCTGGAAAGTTCGGCTGCAAATCGATTGCCCTCCTGTAGGTATCGATGGCCAAATCAATGAGTCCTTGCTCATAATAAACACAGGCCAGATTTCCATGAACAACTGCATTATTTGGTGATAGATTGAGCGCGCGCAAGTACGCCGCTACCGCTCTGAAACAATAAATTTATTATGAAATACATCTGGAAAATTGAAGAAAAAAAAAGACATTATTCTCAACTTCATTATTAAAAATGTCCAAACTCAGGACAACAATGTTATTAGCAACTTAACTGAAAATTATCATATGCAATGTTTGTAATTATATAATCAATAATACGTCAATATAAAAATACAATTGCTGGTTAGCGAGCGTTAATATCTTCCATACTGAGAATTGTGTCCGTGAGCTAAATTGACACCAATTAATACGAATGGCTGAAATAAATTAGTAATTATTGTGGATATATTTACAAACGAAAAGCTATCGATCTCACTGAATGAAAAGGGAAAAATAAAAACATATCTCACAATAATATAGGTCAATAGCGACAAGCGGAATTTATTTTTGAATATTTTATTTCAAATGTATTAAAATACACTTCGAAGGTTGGTTTTAAAGCCGCTCCCGCGGTTACAGAGCATTCTTTCTCCTCAAGCAGCTTGGATTCCTTTCAAAAAGGTAAAATTGGCACACGGCAATAAAATTATCTAATACTGGTAAACCCAACCCAACCCTGAAAATGAGCAACGCCCACGTAAGACATATTTATAAATAACGCAACAGGTTTTATAAGAAATTAGTAAATAAAATAACTTAAAACCACAGAAGCAACAATATAAAAAGCACACAAGATAGGTTAAACCTTTTGAATTGGCTTTGAATCCAAGCAACGCATCCCTCAGGTGGTTTCGTGGGTTGTTTGTAGGTCGATTTAGGTGGATACTGTATGGGGATGATAGTGTAGACCAATATAACTGACGATTCCATTTCAGAAACAACATCGCCGTCGTACGCAAACTGACTGTTCTTTCAGTGTGTCTACCTCGTCATTGCGGAAACTGGACTATCAACAGCAAAAACAATCTCCCGAATAAACGAATCCGTCGCTCCCGAGGTTTATTTTGATTACTACTGTTTGAAAACGCGCGCGCGTCCTTAAGAAATATTCTCGGGAATGACGCACAGAGTCAATTAATATGAAAGCAAAATGTTATCATGTATGGTTAATAATTGATCTAATCATATGGTGTATGTTCCCGGCTATTTATTGTCGCTTCGTATACTTAATGACTATATTAGTGGCGATTGTTTCAATTTGGCAATTAGACGGATTCGTTTCAAAGATTGACTAACTTACGACTTGAGTGTATCTATTTGTAAAGTGTATTGAAGAAAGGTTGCAGAGTGGTGGTGAAAGAAAAGACACTATACTAGAACTCTAGCACTACGGAAGAGAAGTGTAGGAGGAGATTGTGTAACTAGAAGGACGACAGAGTGAAAACTAATACTTGAATGAGTGGTCGTGGTAGTGTCCGGGCGAGGGTGGTGGGTTGCTATAGAAACGTGAGGCTGCGCAGGATGGTTTTGCAGGAATCCTGCATCAACAATATATATCCTACATTGCCACCCCAGACACGGGGGAGGTACATGACACACTTTAACCCTATTGAGCGGCGCTGAACCCTAAAGGTGTTGTAATTGTGTCACAATTGTGCACGCAAATGACTCGGAAAATTATTATTAATTATTTTAAAAGCCCCAAAACAAAAATTTATCCTGCGTCTCGAAACCCATTTTATCGCAGCGGAGAAGATGATGTGTTACGAAAATTTAATGCTGCTCAACGTACATAAGACGACTTCGTGCATCCAAAACGAATACGTGTTAAGGTTACAAGATGAAATAAAATTATAGGAGCCAAAACAAGCAGGGTTCAATCAAATACTTTTCGAATCCCCGTTATCTGGGTCAACGTGGGATTATTTCAATTGTGTCCAAATCATTTATAAGCTCTATTCGCATTTAACATACAGACATTTCAGTGAATTATTTTAGCGAGGAAATAAAAGCAAAGTTCAATTAATTACGCTTTAAGCTGCTAAATTTAATATGCTGCAAATTTTTCACAAAGGAAAACTTTCTGTTCCATTATATAGAGTATATAACTCATCCGATTTTAATCGTATCGATTTCTAACAAGGGAAAACACGCTATATAAGAAACGCACAATAGAGCTTCTATATTGTATATAAAAAATAAAAGGAATTATCTTCAATTTGATCATTACATTGACTATTAACGTGCTAAATTAAACATCTAATTAGTAATTCCATTATAAATAAAGTAATATTATATCACTTTTCTTATAGAAGAGTTTAATATTTCTGGGTCCAACAAAGATGAGAAGTGGAACTCTTGCCAAATTCAATAATGCGGCTGGAGAATATAATAATCAATCTATATTGAAAGACTTATATAAGTTATTCTCTAATTTTATCTGTAATTTCTGCACATAAAGTTTGCACGTACAAATTATTTATTATATTACATTTGCAGAAGTTATCTTTTTATTTTATTATTATATTGAGGTTTTATTTTGAATGTTTATTGTTGCAATATTATTATAAATCAAATTTCGTACTATTAAATTTGACTAAGTAAATATCTCAATTACCAATAATGTAATAATAAAATAATTTCTGTAATATAACACAGAAATTGTACATATATTCCCAACCATCAAATATAATGTTAAGTTATTTGTTTTTATTTAGCATAGTTTATTGTGAATATTAACTACAAAGCAATACATCTAACCGATTGATAATTCCTTGACATGTAGAAATGTTTTTCGATTTATCTTTTAAGCTTTCAAACAGACATTAATCGTTCTATAATTAAAAATACTTATATATTAATAGAGCGGTAAAACTGTACGATATTTACATAAACTGAAATTGAAAAAGTAATCTCATTGATTTGTCTGCCATTTTAGCTGGAAACCATTTGCAAAATGAAACTTTCTCATGTTGACTCTCGTAATTGCTCATGCGTTTATGTCTTTAAAAAAATGTAAATCTATGTACCTACCCGTAAATTACCCTAAGAATATTCGGAATTCTACTGAAAAATATAAATAAACCAAACGCAGTTCTCGGCAGCAATTCAATAACTAACTACATATTGCGTGTGCCAGTGCTGACACACAAGCCTTGAAATGAAATAGTCACCATGATCTCATATACATAAGGCTAATGAATTTAAAAAAACAACAAAATGTTAGTAAAGTAATAATTATTCTAAGACATGCTTGTAATAAAAAATATTTGCATAATGTGCTCACATTGTCAAGATAAATTCTTAGGATAATGTTATATCGTAGCACACCCTTCACTATAATCGAAAGAATTATTCTCTAGGAGCGAATATTTATACATAATGTATTATTGCAATGAACATTCCATCCGAAGCAAACGTTTATTTCAACGGCAGGCACGATTTATATAATTCGCTATTTCCCTTCCGTACACTTTTCGCACTCATCGGAATTTGCCAAGCCGAAAATAAAATAACGCGAAAGTAAATCATGCGAGGGAATATTTCCAACGATAATAAAATAAATTTAACGGGAAATGCCAAAGTATTCGACTATAAATATATAAATAATGTTTTCTGATCCGATGCCAAATTTTAAAATTGACAGCTTAGAAGCGCAAGACTGATGAAACAGATTTACACAAACGATTACCATCCGCAATGAAAATAATAAATGTAATAATAATAAATTATAAAAATAAATTATTATCTGTAATTATTGAATTTACTATTTAGAAATTCATTGTAACAAAGTATACTCAAAGTATAAAGTATACAATACAAAAATGATAATCAATAACATTTCACTAATTTGAATGTACTCCTATTTATACAAATATCAATGATACTTATATTATCCATTCAAATGTGAAAATTATTCCAAATGAGCTCCTGTGCAAAATCAATACATTTATCTCAATACATCAGAGATTCTGAAAGTGGGGGTTGCAGAAATTGCTTTAAGTGCAAAAGGGAGTAGCGGACCAAAAAGTTTGAGAAACGCTGGATTACATGAATGTTTATATATTTTTTGTTTTCCATACATTGTACTGTATATTTACATGAATATATAATTAAGTATTATTTTTAAATCGAACAAAATATTTATATACGTTTATAGTCTATAAAAAGACCTACAGTAATATATTAAGTGCCTATCGACCGAACATATATTATAATTTGCTACAAATTATATTTATCCAGAATTGGCAAAATGCACCAATCATATATTTTTGGCAAAACACGATGTTTAATTTAAGTTCATAATTTTTCTATTATGAGAAAATGTATGAAATTTTATACGTTTAAAATAAATATAATGATAGTTTTGCGAGACTAATATTATATAAATTATCTTTTGGTAAAGTGCTCATATAGTTCATAAAATAAGTTTAAATTGAGTTTATATACTACAAGCGAAACACAAGAAATCTTATTACAAGTCTGCTTATTGGACTTATGTAACGTACATCAGTATAATTGGATTACACCAAGTATACACGAACCTAAACAGAAGCATGTTAGCAAAGTCTTAATAAATACACGTATCATTTTTGCAGTAAGTATAGACCCTAAAAACGTTCTTTCAAGCCACCAATTATAATAAATCATGGCCATTACATAACGTTACATGAGAATTCGCAGCAATCGATAAAGAATGTGCACGTCCCCTTTAAACGCAATTTGCAATGCACCAGCTTGACATCACAAATATGATTTATGAATATGTATCGATTTGTTGGAGACATACGAGTATGTTATAAAAGAAAAAAAACTTACCTATCGAATATTCTGGCTTCTTTCAGAACGTTGCCGAGATTGATGTATGCATCCAAGAAGTTTGGATCCAATCCGACAGCCTTCTCGAAATGGTGAATGGCTAACCAGATTTCACCTTGCGCATTGAAAACACAACCCAGGTTGCTCCAAGCGACGGCGAAATCATTCCTGGTCTCAATTGCTTTCAAATAGCATGCCTAAAGGAATTACAAGACAGAAGATGCGTTAGCTTAAGTGTGTCCGAAAAACAGGTTATGATTCGCAAGCACATCCACCTTGGGGCCTTCTCCAACGATTATTCGCACAGCTCGCTACTATTGCAGAAAAACTTTACGCCATTTATATTTATTATATAAGTTTTGTTATTACGCAGCTCGCAAAACCAAGGAAATCATATAATGCATTGGTACTCCGTTTCTTGTACACGGTAAGAATGAATTATATTTCTTTCCAAATGAAACAAATACGCTCGCATCGCCAAGAAAATAAATAATATCTACGCAAACCAATCAAAGGAACAATTTGGAATAATAGTTCGATATTTTGTATATTTTTGTCAACTACGCTAGCGCATAAAGAGAGGGCCCCGCACTCCAATACCTAAAAACAAAGAGACGTTCCCGGCTAATAAATACCATCTTTGCTTGCGTACTTTACCTGTGATAAAGCGTATTGTTTACCAGCCCGTAGACAGAAGTAATGCAGTGCGCCACTGATGCAGGTTTACCTGTGTTATTGTACAGCAATAGTAATACCATTAGATTAATATTTTCATCAAAATACAATACAATCTTTAAATCTATACATCAAATAGATTCATCACCACTTAAAAATGCATTGAAATCTGAAAAATTAAATTGAAAATTTACTATCAATCGTCTCAGTATCAGATATAAGTTTTCACTTTGGGACATTTTATATAAACGACTATTACATTCCAAGAGCTCATTTCGATACGGTGATAATCCTTTTTGAAACACAGTAATAAAAATCTGGAGGTAGTATATGAATGATAATGAATAAAAATAGCAAGTATGGAAACTTACTTGATGATTTAGGCAATGAAAATTGCAGTGATCAATTAAAGTACACGAGATTTTAAATATGAATTCACAAATATTTTCTTCAAATAATCAATTTGTAAGTAATATTAAGCAATATAAATGTAATTGCATTCAGTAGTGGACTGCAATAATCTTTCTATCAACATAGTGTCCTACATCAAATTGTTTACAAATAAAGCCAAAATTAATTCGATTTCGACTTTATTTGTGGAAAATATTACAACAAAGTGCTACGAACAAATAAATTAACTGCAATTTCCACTGGACATAATGCAAGGTATTATCAAGAATGCCTGATAATTTCATATGAAAAAGTGTATCAGGTTTACGCTAGCGCTTTTGGATTGACTAGTTATGCGAGCAAGATAGAGAACAAATGTAAAACTCGGATAACTATTCAACCCATGCATAAATAATACAGACATCGCCAAATTGCCTGATAATACACAACCTTAGGAACAATGTTTTACGCCAAATGCAGCAGCCACAAACACACAAACACTCGCAACCATTCAAAAATCGCAATTCTCTGCTTCACTGTGCTTTACGCCAATGCGCCATGTATGAAACCATCAGCCAAAATGTAAATTAAAGTTCAATGCAATTCATACAATCGCTGAAGTTACGCAAAAACATCTTGCATTATGTGCAACATATATTTCCATTACATATTTCTCTTATTTATCAATTCTGAACTCTAGCATAATATTTAATCTGAGAGGTGTAATGGAAATATTGATGAAATATGAGAGGATTAGGATAGACTGGTAATATGATTTAATCTAAACCACACCTACCTTAGCTTCATCTAAACGACCTAATGCTTTAAGTAGATTACCCAAATCACTCCTCACACAATACAAATCCTGGAAAACGGTAAATTTAAATTAATAGATTCTATGCTATATATGAATTTATAAACTTACTGGGTTATACTGCAAAGCAGTTATGTATGCCTGCACTGCTTGTTCCATATCACCAGCAGCAACTAAAGCAGCGGCCAAATTAATATAGCCGTCAATGAAGTCGGGCTTTAAACGAACAGCGTGTCTGTAGTTTGCCAAAGCTTCTTGAAGTTGTCCTTGCTCCTTATATACATTTCCAAGATTACTGCAAAATAATCATAAGTAATAAATAAATTACTGTAAGGCAAATATAATTCGAGTTAAATAAAAACAAATTAGAGCATTACAATATATATAAAGTATTCTTTTGAAAAATGATGATATAAAATTTTCTTTAGAAATGAAAACAATATTGAATATTGTTTAACTCTTTGAACTTCCAGAAATTCCTAAATTTATAGACCCAATAAGGTCAGATTAAAAAAAACACATTATTTAGAAAATGCACATTATTTAGAAAATTAAGATGCATTAAAAAGATACATTTAAATGTACCACAGCTTGTTCAAAAGGTAGTACAATGCACGTACCACCGCCCCTCAAACAGTTAATGTATAAGTTTAAATAAAATAAATATTTTATTAAACTTGCAAATGTGCGCTGCGCAGTTAAATGATACGAATGGAAAGTTAAAGAAGAATGCTATTTATACTATATACTACAAATTTTCCATAACAATGTCACTATTTACATATTAATACTAAACAAAATGAAGTCACAACAACACATACTGACAATGTATTTATAATGGATTTAAATGCAAGCCTTCGCGTTAAGTCATGCGCAGATGTAGACACGAATTAGACGACGATCGATCCTTGTAACTATTCTATGAAGCTTTTAGACAGTAAATGTTAATTTTATATTATTTGTATTAATCGTTAACATATGCTCTCTATAATATAAACGATATAATATATTATTTTAAGAAATAACCCATTTGTTATCAACTTTAGAAGAGACTGATATGTTGTTGAACATATTTGTTTAAATACCTTATCCTGTATTTAATTAACTTTATATAAATATATGTAATTGAGAAGGTCAAATTCATTATGTTTCCATGGAGATAAAAATTATTAAACGTTGATTTAATCAATTCCAATTTCGTTAAAAACAAAAATGTTCTATGAAACTAATTGGCAAATGAAATTGTAATTACATATAATTAAATAGGGTAAAACCAGAAATTTTCATCGCAGTGATATTTTTCCATCACGTTTTGCGTCTTGAATCACATTATATTTACACATGTTATTTATAAAAATAATCATTCATATTTAGATTTGAAAATAGATAAATGTTTTTTATGTTCTCTGTTTATGGATTCTTATGAAATAATGAAAATTGAACAAACCTGTAAGCTTCAGCCAGTAGTGGGTTTTGTTTAATTGCCAATGTACTGAAATGGGCAGATTTTTCTAATCTACGGCACTGGAAGTGAATGCTTGACAACAGTAGCAAAACTCCAGTATTTGTAGTATCTTGTCTCCAAAGTTGCATGCAATGCCTTTCGCCATTTTCATAATCTCCTGCTTGATATTCTCTATGCGCCAGCTCCAAGAGGCCTGCAAAGGAAAAAATAATTAAATGGAGTCATTATTCTAAATATAAAAATTCCTATAAGACTTACCGACTGAAGAAAGCTGTGGTATGTCGTTCATCTTTACGATGATGGGATTCGCCACAAGCGTATTTAGATTCTGGTTTGGATTGTGTGGCTGCATGACCGCATATAAAACAATAAAATCTCGTTCAAAACAAATGAATTCAGCGCACCGACGTGTTTTGTTTAGTGCTTCCAGGCGTTTGGATACGACTGGCTGCGACCACCTTGAGTCAACTCAACTACGATCTAAGAATGATATTGATTATACTGCAACAGTCAAATCAACGCTGTAGCTCGTTCTAGGCAGGGTTGACAAACTTCAAAGAGCTAAACCCGTCAAGGAAAAAAGTTGCCATGCCATTGGTCGACCGACAGCAGATGTTCTTCCCAGAATGGAATATTCCATGCATTGAAAAAATGTGGATATTCATGGGGGATGGAAAATTTTGAGCAATTCGATTGTGGATGGATTTCTCAGGCTTACCTGCACCGTATTTCCTCGTGGTTTTTTTCAACGTCCCTCACCGACGCCCCGCTTCTCTATTTTCGTAATACTTTATTGAAATAATGAAGTTCCTCTGTATCTCTTGAATATCCCCGTACCCCGCACAACTAGACGGGATGTAATGTTACCGTGACGTCATATGCGGCGATCACTGCGCCATAATTACAGCACACCAATGGAAAAACAATATGGATTTGGCATAGGTTGGACCGAGATGGCGACATCCGCTTTCAAAACGCTGTTTCGAGGTACCTAATTGCACGGTTGTCACTTCTCTACTTTATCCGTAACAGAAACATTCACAGCCTTTCTCATAGTCTTTATATATATAATAAAGACATATCTCAGGTAAAGATATACCTGAAAGTGTCGTTAAAGTTATAATGAAGTTATCGACAAATCTATACATTTAATTTCCAAAAAAAAATTGAATAATTTATTATTTATTAATCTATTTTGGCCTAAATTTGGATTATAGGGATAATGAACTAAGTCTCCGCCAAATGTATTACATTATAATTTTTGTATGTTTATTATAAATGTACTTGTTAATTTAAATGCTCACAATTAATATATCGTTATATTTCCATATTTTAATTATATTTCATTATTTATGAATCTACAAAATAAATTATAAACAAATGTAAAGAATAAAAATCTATTCATATTTTCAAAGCGTAAATTACTATCTATGACATTGTAGTCGTTTTTTTCTGAAAGATAATAAACTATTTCTGCTTGACTCAGTACAATTTTCTTAAAATTCAAGTTTTATCAGTGTTTTTAGATTTTTTTCGTTTATATGTTAACAGGATAGAATTGGCACCGCCGCGGGTCGAGCAAGTGGAGATCTACAATGTCTTCGCGTTTTTTTATGATCCCCACCACGTGTGACCGCGGTTTCTTGCTGAGAGGAATAAAATTATTCTGCCATTTCGACAGCGGCCGGCATCGATTATCTACGATTTCTTAACTCTTTTAAATCTCAAATCCTTCAAACATGTCTGCTAACGAAGAAAGAACCTTCATCATGGTCAAGCCAGACGGTGTCCAAAGGGGACTCGTTGGCAAGATCATCAAGAAATTCGAGCAGAAAGGCTTCAAGCTTGTTGGAATGAAATTCATGTGGGTACGTAGTCGTAAAAAACTCGCAGTTGGAGGTCGTTTCTAATTCTAAATATTTTCCATTACAGGCTTCTGAGGATCTCCTGAAGAAACACTACTCTGACTTGTCCAGCAAGCCATTCTTCAATGGACTCGTCAACTACATGCACAGCGGCCCAGTTGTCCCCATGGTTTGGGAAGGTTTAAACGTCGTTAAGACCGGCCGTGTCCTCTTGGGCGCTACCAACCCAGCTGACAGCGCACCCGGAACCATCCGTGGTGATCTCTGCATCCAGGTCGGACGTAACATCATCCATGGCTCCGATGCAGTTGAATCCGCCAAGAAGGAAATCGACCTCTGGTTCACTGAAAAGGAATTGGTTGGATGGACCCCAGCTCAAAAGACTTGGGTCTATGAAGATTAATTTCGTTCCATTTAACATATCTTTGTGATATATTTATAATAAATAAGTAAAAAAAAATCTTGTTTTATTGAAACTTAATTACAGTAAAAAAAATGGTTTAGTTAAAAAAATATGTATAAACATATTTGCACTAAATAGGTAATACATGTCAAGTCAGCTGAATGATTATAATCATCTGCATTTCTATAATAGAATGATTGGAAAAATATAATTTAAATTTGGATAAGGCATAATCAAGTTATGTAATGTTTCCTTGAATACAATAATCGGAACATAACTTTATAAATGGATCAATAAAAATAAATAGAACTGCAACACACTATACATGACAGTATAAAATTTAACAAACGTTTTGTTAGGTTGGATTGGGTTGGATCAGCTGTAAGCTTTATGTCAGTGTTGTCAATTGCAGTCAGTTGTTAATGGTAAATGGTGACAAATTACAAACATTCTTTAACAATATTAGTGCATTATTTGGTCATTACAAAGTGTAAAATTTCCAGGGATATGTCAAGTAGATAAACATAATTTACAATGGCAACAGAAAATCAGCAAATGTTTATGAAATTCAAGCAACTTTCCACAATACAAAAGGATGACACAAACGTAAAATAAGTTTGGTTGTAAAATAATCAATTAATCATATTTTATTTAAGGTGGAAGTACGTGTGGATGAGGAACAAGGGCTCAAGTTGCAAGAGATTATAGATTTACTGGTTGCTGCAGGCTATTTCCGAGCCAGGATTAAGGGTTTGTCATCTTTTGATAAGGTAGTTGGTGGTATGACCTGGTGTATAGAATCCTGCAATGTAGATCTGGATGTTGATTTACTATTTCAAGAAAACTCAACAATTGGACAAAAGATGTAAATATCATTGAATATAATTGGTTCAAAGTAATTAAACCTGATTATTTCAGCTCACTTACTGAGAAGATTGTAGCAGTTTTGCCAAAATTGAAATGTCCACATCTAATTGAGCCACATCAAATCCAAGGCTTGGATTTTATTCATATATTTCCTGTTATTCAAGTATTCAAATCAATAATAGTTTTCTTTGCAAATTAAATATTAATTTTTAGTGGCTTGTGAAAAGATCTATGGAATTTCGTGAAAAAATGTCTGCTTCTCTCCGAAGATTTGCTATTAAACAATTCAATAGGGATTTTGATAATTCTACTGTTGAATCAAAGAAGACTGACGAGATTTTTGAGAATTTGTGTACAGTCAATGAAATGTACCGTCCACATAGATATTATAAGAGAAAAACTAGTCAATCTGATAATATAGACTCTAACATTAAAATTACTCTGTTAGAGTATGGTTTGAGAGGTAGCAGAAATATAGCTCAGAATAAAAAAGATAATGGCGTTGAAGAAAGTACTAGTGATGTATGTGCAAATATCTTAATCTTATTTAAATTACTAATTATGTTAATTTTCATGATTTACAGCAATATGATCAGATTTTAAATAACATGGCAGTAATGAATGATGTAAGTATGCTGTAAGGTTGCATTGATTAAATTTGACATTTGGTCAGTGTTTGAAGTTAACAGTTGATTAAATGTTATCTAAATATTAATATAAATTTAAACAATACTATTTTAGGATTTCTTTTTATATGAAGACTTGGTTTCTCATGATAAGGAAAGATTATTGAAACATTATCTAACACTGCAAACTGAAATAAAGGTAAATTGATATGAAATTGTAAATAAATAAAATACTTTATATTAATTTTATTTAGGAAGACAATTTAAGATCAAGTGAAGAAGAAAAGCTGCTATTGTTGGAAGAAAAAAGGAAAATTTTGTTAGAGTATTGTGACAAGTTAGCACAACAAAAAGATAAGTGGAATAAAGAAATAGTAGATTGTACTGCCGAATTAAAATTGTTCAAGCGAGAAAAACAAGAAACGGAGAAATCATTACACGAATTAGAAGAGTCTGCACAAAAACATTCCAAGTAAGTAACTTTTAGATTCCAATTGAAGACAATATATTTTTTTTATCTTTCAGTAGTATTAAAGAGGTTGAAGATTTAGTGATTTTAAATGACGATTTACGGAGTCAGGAGTTGCGATTCAGGGAACATTGTAAACAAGAACTTGCAAAATTGCAAGGTTTAATTGAGTAAGTTTCTAATATTTCATATGGAATGTTTGTAAAGCAATATTATGTTATTAGAGAAACGAAAAAAGCTAAAACCCCTGTAATTAATGAAGAAGAGAATCAGAAGGAAATTGACGAAGAAAATGAAAATTTGCGTCAGTTCAGGTTGCAAGTTGCTAAGAAAACCAGAATAGTCGCTGGTTTGCAACGGCAATTGGATGACGTTCCTGGCAGAGCGGAGCTAGCACAATACCAAAGTAGATTCATAGAACTATTCAATCAGGGTAAGATAAACATGAAATTCTAAGTAATAGGAATTAATCTTATATTGAAATTTCAGTTGCAGCAAAGCACAAGGAAACTAAACAATATTTTACTTTGCATAATACTCTTGAAGACAGCAAGCAGTATATGATTAAGGAAATGTCATTGCTCAATTCAATATCTGATAGTTATCCAAAGTAATGATATGATTTTGTTATCTAAAATTATGTTATTAATCTATTGTTTTGTAGAGCTATGGAGACAAATAATGGCAAGGAGGAATTTCTAACGGAGTTTGAGAAGATCGGGGAGAGTGTTAGATTATCTAAGATGAAACTTGATAGAAGACTTTCCGAGGAAAAGCACAAACGTGATCAACTTCAATATAAGCTCCAAAATCTCTTGGATCTTCAAAGGAAATATGTTACTGCTGTCAGGAATTTAAGCATTGAATGCAAAAGGCAGGAAGGCAACGTAATTCATTATGCTTGAATACTTTTATATGCAATTTTATGTGTAAAAATTTATATCAATATTCCTATTGCTTGTATTAACCTTCAATATTTTTAATAAGAAACATAAAAAATTCTAAATTTTACATAATCATCTAAATCTACTTAATAACCAACAAACAACCCGAAGCCATACATTAAGTAACAATGTGTATATAAAACCGGAGAAAAAATGAAACACTGACAGAATAATTGAAAATAAAAATTGTCCAGTTTTCTCAACCGAACAATTAGTAAAAATGGTTTCATTTATATCAGGGGTGGCCAAAGCGTTGGCCATGTAACTATTCCTAGTCGCATGCCTGTCTAATATGTACAAATCAAACCACAATATATGTGAAAAATACGGTAATAAAATTCAATGTATCACGCAATTGAATATCAAATTGAATAGTGTATAATTTCGTATCACGAAAATCCGATACGAAAAAGTTGGTTTGAACCTCAAAAAACAACAAAAAATGATTGTGACACAACAATCATTTATTGTGTCCAATCACTAAATTATAGGACTATGACATATAAAAAAAAATATGCAGAATAGACAGATCTTCTTGTATCATGATACAAATATAAATTTATATTTGTATTATGAATCTTAATGCTATAATTATACTTGTATAATGGACCATAGCAGTATTTTTTTTCAGCTACCTTTGGAATCTATACAGACAGCCACCATTGGCTGCCATCCTGATTTTTTTTTATAACAAGCAGTCAAAGAGATGACAAAAATAAATGCAGTTGCTGTTTTGATGAAGTTTATTCTGTACTGTTTTGTCCTGTTATGTTACCATTTAATTTATGTAGACTGGAAAAATGAAAATGATTTGTTTTGTTTCTACTTTATAATTTTAATTTATTAGAATTAAATGGATCTATGATACATTCTTTTTAATAGGTACAGTTATAAGGGATTAGGGGGTTTGTTTTGATTTTATTATTTTTGACATTGATTGTATTTTTGGTACACAGACTTATTGGAGATTTAATTAATTATTCTATTCAACTGTTATTAATTTTCCACCACTTCGTCGTCATATTAATATAAAAATGATATTTGTTCCGTTTTTAAATGTCCGAAAATCGACAATTTTTGTTGTATAAAATCATATGTTAAATGGAACGTAACCGTCGATGAAATGATAAATGTAAAGTGGCCTAAATACAATAAATTTCCATTTCGGTATAAAATTTATTCCAAGATTTATCTTTTGATTTATCATTAAGTTATTATTATTATTTCATTATTATTATTAAAATCTCTTAGGCTAAATCAAGCAATTGAATATCAATTGAATATGATAAATTGCTAAATTGAGCTAGAATACTCTCTCTTGCATTCACTCTGACCCATTCACACATTGTACATAATTCGTCCAGCGATACTTGATACTATAATTAATTAATCTTTCTTTTAAATATATCATATATATAATATTTGTTTTCCTTCTGTTTTTTAACTATTTCTTTTCTTTTTTTTGTCAGAGTATAACAGTTAACAAAATGTGTAGTAAATACATTAATAATGTAGTTTATACTGCTATTGAATAGTCGGAGGCTTGACCTGAGCCACTAGGTCGGGACCACAAAGAACTCCTTAAACCTAATTTGAGCTTTTTAAGTGTGTCGATGTCGCATTCGGCCTCACTCAATTCCGGTCTGTCCGGCGTGTTCTGTTCGGGCTGCTGAGGTCTGTCAGTAAACGCCGTCTCCGCCACTGCCAAATGTGGAAGCATTTGCCTGGTCGAGCCTCTGTTTTGCTGAAGCCACCTAGAATTTGCCTGTTTTTCATTTTGATACACGTTTTTTGGCAACGAGTACCTCGCCCTGCCACGACGCGGAAGAGACTTTTGCTCTGACATTGGGGATATGTCTGAAGAAGTGCTTGATTGTGCTCCGTGATATATAAAATCTACAAAAAAAAGATATACATAATAAAAATGATAATCTAACTAAGCTGTATCATTGGTTAGTTACCTGACTTACTATGTTTGTGTTTCATATCTAAGTGATTGGAAGACTCGGTCCTGCTCGAGGTCAACTGGTCTGGATCTGATTCGCTGTCGTCGCTGTCCACGTCCGTTTTTCTGTTGGTTCTCCTGGGGCGGCCGTGGACCTTTGGAAATTTTTGCTAAAAAGTAAATATTCAATACTCTCAAATCAAAAATAGCTAAATAGATTAATGTTAGCGTATCAGAACATCATACAATATTATAATACGGTGAGTTTCTTTGAACTGAGGAAGCTGGAGGGGGCGATGCGCAACCCTCAGTCATGGCATGTTCGTGGTACATGAAACTATGCAACATAGTGTTTTGAGGAAGGGTGCTTGGTTCCGAGAGTTGGAACGTCGCATACGGTGAAATGTCTTCGGATGTTTCTAGGACAGATAAACAAGTTTATCAAAAGTATCAATATTGCTAAGAAGATACGCACCTGGAATCTTTTCACCAGCTTGAAGTGCAACTTTGTGGATGGTTGCGTAATACCTTTCACGTTGAGCTTCAGCGTTTTGTTGATTATCCAGTTGCTCTTTTGCAGCTTCGTTTCGACCTGCAATTAAATAGTTTAATACAATAATAACATTAGTAGGTGATTAATTACGATGTTTCAAACATATTATAGCAGTAGCGCCAGAAGCCAGCAATAAGACGGCGAGGATAATTACGGGAAGTAATATTTTAACATCTGCATAGAACGGATTGCCGCTACTCCCTTGCTGCATTAAATCAGGCGGCGGCACCTCTGGAACAACAACAACACACATGCATCAGAATAGGAATTTAATATTGAAATTCACACGAGTACCGCCTTCTTTGGTCAGTGTCATGAAAGCGAATTCTTCAGTTGAAAAGCCTGCTATGTTGTGCGCTTCTAATTTGACTATGTACTGTGTGGCCGGTGTCAGTCCTGTGATGGAGGTGCGCCTTTGCGGTTTTAAAGCATTCGAAACTACAAGAATGTTAAAGTAATTAATCGCTTTTAACCTGTGCCTCTTATCGATATCTCTCACCCAATGTCCATTGCGACTCGGATGATTTTCTGTACTGCAGGACAAAATAAAGGATAGGGCAACCGTTGTCGGGCCACACGTGCAACCTTAAGACAACAGATGTTGAATTCGGCGATATAAAGGAGGTTGAGGAAGGAACGCCCGGCGGATGTCCTTGTGTCCTGGCCTGTAATGGATGGCTCGCTGGGGAGCTCCCTATTTTATTGTGGGCTACTAAATATAAATGATATGTTGTTCCGCATAAAAGTCCCTGTGAGAAAGCAAAACAGAGGTGGAAAGGCGACGGTTATAATCATTTCCTTTACAAGCTCATAACTTTATAAATAACAACCTTCAATTCATAGCTCATGGCGTGTCGTGATAAATGGATTTCGTCCAAATTTCCATGCTCTTTGCGATAATTCAATGTATATCCGCTAATGGCGGCACCACCGTTGTTCCCCGTTTTCCAATGCAGCAGGACGCTGCTGCTTGTGGCGCTAGTTACGTACAATAAAGGAGCCGATGGAGGGACTTGTACAACTAGATTATATGTGGTTTTGTCCGACCCTTGTCCATTGTCCACCTGGCATGTGTAATTTCCAGAATCAGCCAGTTGGAGATTAGAGAGAATTAACTCTCCAGTATCAAGAAGTTGAATGTTGTGGTTGGCACCACCCTTCAATATCTGTTCGCCCCTCAACCATTCCCTTCTGGGTGTTCCCACCGAAACGCAAGAAAGAGCGACAGATCCTCGCCAAGGTCTTACTATTATTCCTCCGAATGATATAATCCTAGCTGGAACTGCAATCAGATAATTACATCGTCAATTATTAAATTCAATTATTTATTGGAAGAATAATTTCGTGGTCTTAATAATATCATAGACCACGAAATTAAACTTGACTTAGAAATGGATAGTACTACAAACATTTGTCGTAGTTCGGATAAAAACTCTGTAACGTTAATTGAGGTTGAAATCACATGTATGTATTTTATGGAGATATTAATTTAATTTACCTCGGTTAGAAGCAACTTGCGTAACGACTCTGGAACTTTGGCCTTCCCCGATCCTGGTTGATGCTGTTACCCAGAATTGATATTCCACATGGGGCTGGACCCCCTTGACTTCGAAACTCGTGTGCTGGCTGGATATAGTCTGTTTGGCGTGATCAATTTCCTGTCGTCCATCCATGCTGCGCTTGTACAAGTTATATTTTGTAATAATGCCGTTCGGTTCATTAGGTGCCAGCCATGAGACTAATAGCGATTGCGGAGAGCTGACAACGGCCTTTATATCGGCAGGCGCTCCAGGCACTGAAAATATAGAGCGTAAATATCTCCCTTCACGACTCGCCGTCGTTTGTATCAGCGTGACATAACTAACCATCTTCCTCTGTTTGGCAGTATGTAGTGGCAGTGAGAACTCCATCTCCAACTTTCGTAAATGCCAACACTTGCAAACTATAGTTTGTGAACTTTCTCAATCCCATGATTACAGTTGTCAGAGCGGTCGTTTTCCTAGTTTCCATTTCATCGTTGCCTGAAGCAGAAAGAAGGAAATGATTAAAAAACAAAATTCACATTGGTTTTGTGATTGGAAAAACTCTATATTTAATAATACCTCGCCAATTATCGTCGAGGACCGGTTCGTATGTGAGCTTGTAGCCTTGCAATAAGCCGTTGCAGTGCTCTGTTGGAGGCGGTTGCCAACTCACTTGTAAGGATTGCGATGTTAAAGCCGCACATCGTACATCCTCCGGGGGCAGGCTTGGAACTACATAAATAAAGCATAGCATAAAGAAAAGAACATAAATATATATATATAATCGTAAATCGATTTTATGATGACACTCACCATCTTCCATAGTTTGAGTAGTTGCCGGTTCAGTAAGCGGACCCGCTCCAACTTCATTAAACGCTTGAGCGACTATGGTATATCTAGTGTATTTCGCCAGACCTCCGAGTAATAATTCGCCGCCACCATCCTCCCCGTCACCGGTAATTGTTGTGAAATTGTAGGAGCCTACGGTGCCAATTCTGAAGCCAATATTGAAGCCCTGAATATCGCCGTGTCGTAATTCCGGTAGTGGTGGTGTCCAAGTTATCAGGAGTTCAGTGGAAGAGACCGGACGCACAGACAGATTTAAAGGAGGTCCTGCGGGACGCTGAGGCTCAGTCCTAAGCAAAAGTTCTGTGCTCGGAGCACTTTTTCCCGCTGGTCCCTCAGCGATTACACGGAATGTATACCTTGTAGCCGGTTTTAAATCCTCGATAAGAGCAGCGAACTGTAGCGGCATATCGTTTAAATCTATCTGCTGCCAAGGACCTATTAAACATCAATCGGTTAAGATTTCATTTGTTGGAACAATGCAAACGTCATAGCACTCACGGTCTAATTCGCGATACTCGACGATGAATTTGAATACTTCGTTGGAATCTCCCGATTTGTGCTGCCACTTCAAATTAACCGATCTGCTGCTTATCATAACTGCCTCGAGATGCTGAGGGCTTAGCGGTGGCTCTTGAACTAGCAATTGAACTAATTGCTGATCCCTGCCGTACATGTTGCTCGCTTGGCAGAAGTATGCACCACTGTCTGTGGCTTCCGCGTTCACGATCTGCAGTTCAGCAGCTACACCGTCCGGTGTAACATCCTGCTTGACATGAACCCTGTAATTTGTGGATGGATTCAGCTCCGTTTTGCCACCCCGCAGCCAGATTACGCTGATCGGCTTATCGCCGTTTACGTCGCAGTGCAGTGTGGCCGTGTCCCCTTTCTTGACAGACACCAGCCTCGATGGAGCAGAGAAGTAAGGCGAAGCTGAGATTAACATTTACGTCTTACATAATTTCAGCTCTTTCTCTATTCCTTTCACATACTTACAGTTCACCCGCAATTGAATTACTTTCCCAATGCCCGTGCCGATGCCGTTATCCGCCTGGCACAAATAAAATCCCTCCCTATCTTCCTTTACATGTTGCAATAATAATGTGCCATTCTCCAATAGTTTTGTATACATGTGGTCCCTCACTTCTTCGTAGTCCCCTGATTTGCTTCCTATTACAATCATTAGTATTACAATCATTTTATTTTCTATAAAAAGCGTATTATCGTATTGGTAAAAGTAGACATAATAAATAATTTTAATTAAAAGACGAGAATTTGCAGGTTTGATTTCCACCAAACAAATTATTTAAATATACTAGAGCGAGTATATTGACTTATAGAAAATATCGGATAGCCCAAAATGTATTACGGGACTAAGATTCATGTATAATTGAGGGTTTAAAAGAAATGGAGATTTGGTGGAAAATCATCTTAGATTATTGTAGATTTCACTTATTACAAAATTAATAACCTATAACAAATATATTAAATAAATAATGAATTTTTCATTATTTTTTATCAGTTGAAGTTTACTAGCTACTGAATAAACTTCAACTGATATACGTCGGAAAACTTCCTCGAACTTCGCATCTTTGATTTACCGTGTTTTGTAAATATGTATTGTGGTGTGTTATTAATCATATGAGCGAACATTTATTGTGAAAATACCGTGTTTTATGAAGAATGCCTGTAGTTAGTTGATAAACATTTTACAAAGACAAAAATGAACAAATAAGTAATACATTCAATAAATACAGCATTATTCATTTTTGTAAATATTCATATGATTTTATAATAATATTTAAGTATACCACGTTGGATGTGTTCTGTGTGTATCATTCATACAATTTGAAATGCATCGATTAAGAATGCGGATGATATGTGATTGTGTGCATGTGTACCTGTTGCTTTCTTCCAAGTAACAGTTGGAGTTGGAACACCTTGGGCTTGGCAGTGAAGTGCGATATGTCGATTTCGTTCGACGTTCACATCCATGGGTTCGACTAGCCATCGTGGAGGCACTGTAAAAGAGCCAGCATGAGCAAACCTTTTGGGAAGCGAACAAGCTGCACCTAAGATTAGTCCTTAAAAGTTAGCTTTTAGAAAACACATAGTACGTGAGTGATGGTGCCGTGAGTAGGTACATTGACGACACTCTACGCGGTTTAATTGGAAGGGTGGCTAAATTACTGGTATTTGCTGCAGTAAGCAAGTACTTGTGAGGGGGTTGTAATCAATAATAAAATTCGCAATGGAAATAATAAACAGATCCTCTCTTATTTTTTGGCGGCGGTGTGAACACTTTAAGCTCCTCTCCACTATAATTGTTAAAAAAAACACACACATAACAATTTCTCTATCTACGAATAATCGCATGCAAATAGTTAGATAGGCTACATAATATATGGTTAGTATTATTGTAAATATAATTGTTATTAGTATTGTAAACAGAGAAATAGAAAGAAACAAAAGATGGTGCAACAGTACCTTGACCTTGGGTGGTCCGGTCGACGCGTGTGCCAAAGCAACGGATTGTGAGTGTGGGGGGTGTGGAGCGGGTTCTGGGGCTGGGCCGGGATCAAGGCTAGGGTTGTTACCTTTGACCTGCAGCTTGGCGGTGTACCTAACCTCTGAAGCCGGATTACTCGCAACACAGGTAAAGTCTCCGGAGTGTCTCGAGTCAAGGCTAGAAATGCTGAGGAGGCTAGAATAAGGGTCAAGGGCCGAAACGTTAGCACCCAATGAGGGTGTCAATGGTTGACCATCCTTAAGCCAGGATACAACCAGAGGCGGGTCACCGGCACTAACTCCGCAGACGGTACGGGTTCGCATGCCTTCTGATAGCCCGTCTTGAAAGGAAAAGGGCTCAATAATAGGAGGAACTGAGAGAGAAGAGAAACAAACATCAGAGATAGAAAAGAAAGGCTAAAAGGCGCGACACGGCACGCCTGATTACCATTAACTACCAACTGCTGCGTGTGCGATACCTCAGCAGCCAGGTTTCTCACGACACACGAGTAATTCCCGTTGTGATCTGGCGACAGACTCTCTATCAACAGAATACTAGTAAATTGGTCCACTTGTGTTATCGAAACCATCTGCGCTGGTTCTATATTTCGTCCATCTTTGTGCCATGATATCGTCAAAGGCAAATCGCCTTTCGTTACAGAACAAGTCAAACTCGCCCTATCTCCAACGTGAAGTGTATCTTCTGCGTAGAAAGGGCTAACCTTTGGGGGAACTGCAATAACATATTAAAACTTAGTTACATATTATACAGAGATTTCATGAGTAGACACAAGCAGACGTCTTCCCAATTGGCTCCAAAGACTAATGAACTTCACTCGGTGTCTCCTGAAACACTCTTCATCAACTCTATTTAATTCTCTTTGATCCAGAACAAATGAAAAATAAAAATAAACAAGAAACACAAAAATAAACGTCCTGCTCTTAGCGATTTCTTTCGTTCCAGAAAAAAAAAGGAAACATACACACACATCCAGGTCAATCAGTGTATGTAAAGAGTATGATCAAAGGGCATTCATTTGATGAAAAAGCGGGGTACATTTTGAGAATGCAATTAAATCCTACCGCATGTATATATAATCTTATAATGACATTATGCAACATCTTAAAGTATCGTTTTGAAAATTACAACTTTGAAAGAAATGTAATTGTTCACATGAGCAGGACATTTCTTTTCTGTGTTTCTCTTTTCAATAGATTTTTTTGAGTGTAATTTTAGGGTATCGGTGACTAAAATGTGCATACCAATAACAGTAACTTCGCCGCTCCTTCGAGCGCTGTGTCCTTGCTTATTCCTTGCCCAGCATGTGTAGACACCGGTGTCCGCCTTCTTTTCCACAGGATTGATTTGTAAGGTTCCGTCGGGCAATACCTTTTGCCTTAAATCATCCGGGAGTTCTCTGCCGCCTCTTTCCCAATGGATCTCCTCAATCGGATATCCTGCCACTGGACACTTCAATTGAAGTGTTTCTCCTGCTACCGCCGTCACCTTTGGGATTAGCCGGATATACGGCATCCCTATGGATGGGCAAACAATAAACTTGCTTACAGAATCATCGGAAAAGTGTTTAAACGTAATGGAATTTCCCACGAAAGAACAAAAAAGAGAAAGACGTGGAACTTTATTAACTTGTCATATGTACGTATAAGCGTTCGAGCGCACAAGGGGATGAACATTGGAGGAGGGAGGGTTGTTGGTTGAGTTTGCATGGTAAATTTAGCGCAATATATTATACAAAACTCATGCGCCAGACAAATGGGAACTGTGTGTGTGTGTGTTTTTCGCAACCCGTATTTATGGGGCTTTTCAGTTTATGTGCCAGAAACTATACATTTCCTAAATGGTAATATCATTACGGCCATAAATATTTTTATTGCAAAAAAATAAACATGATGAAAAGGGGAAACATTTGCAGCCAAATTCAAATGCGTGATAAAGTATTATCCCTTTTTAAGTGAAATACATTTATAATTTTGCGCTAATTAACCAGGCTTTACACTTTTGGATTATACTGTTTGTACAACTAACAAAACCATAAATTCAAGTGGACAATTTTTGACACTGGTTTTATTATATATTTTGAAAAACCTTATTTATTGTAACTTATATGATAAAATACAAATACTAGAAACATTTAAAATTTAATCTCATAAAAGATATATACAGTGGAACCTCGCTTAACAAGCACTTCGCATAATGAGCATTTCGCTTAACGAGCAAAATTAATTGTAAGAAAAATGACTCGTTTAACGAGCGACGTTTCGCATAACGAGTGATGATGAGAAGAGAAGTCCCGGATTGTGCGCCTGTTACATCATTTTTCAAACTTGTGTACACATATTATGTGTATTTTTGAATATGTTTAACTATACGAGTAAAAATCCGGATATTTTGGAACGGATTAAGCGAGGTTCCACTGTATATGTACGTGCAGATTGTTTTACTGTTTTTAAATATAATCAAATCTTCTAGTCTGAGTGCTTGCAAGCACTTTAGTCATTGTCTAGCTGTTATGCCGTGAAGGATATTGATTACTGCGATGTTTCAGTCATTCAAGCATTATTTTCTGCTTACTTCTATTTAAGTAATGATGTTAAATGTACATTTAATTTTATAATATTTATAAAAGTAATGATTATTTAATTCAATAATTTATTAATCGTTAATAATTAACAAATATATAAATATGTAATTGGTATAAATTAATATTTTTTATATTTATTATATACAAACACAGAAATGAGGGATTTTCATAAAAAGTTAATCATATGATAATAATAAGCGCACACATACATCAAAGTCAGATCAAAGGACATAAATTAATTTGTAAAAGCGGATTACAATTCATTAAATATATTTTTAGTAATTTATTAGGACTTATATAATATAAAGCACGGAAAAGTTGAATTGAAAAATAAGTGGTTTGTTTCAAAGAGAGAATTAGGAGTATTTTTATTATAAATATCTATCTTATATAAAGAAATTTATCAAGTTAATATATTTGATTTAATTTTTAGAAAATATATTCTTTGCGATTTAATGTAAATAAATTATGTAAACTTAACATTACAATTAAACCATTCGAGAATCTTTATTTGAATTCTTGAAATTTCAAAATATTGTTTCAATTTTGTATATTATGTAGACAACATATTTAATGCAAAGGCATTACAACGGTTCACAATATTTTTATTCCTTACTGTAATTTTAATAATTTAAATATTTTGATATTTTACATCATGATCTAATTTGTGTATTTATTTTTTGCTTCTACACAGAAACAATCTACCAAAATTTTCCTTCATCTAATATTATGTTTGCAATCTCCACTTTTCTTGGCCATAGTAATCTTTTAATCGTAATTCTTCTATCTGCGATATATCTTCATTCCTTGTTTAGTTCGCATTTAAACCAGCAATGTTCTACTGTATCCTCCTCTCCGCAAACAGACGTCCATGTTTGCCCAAACGTATTTTTATACTTCTCAAATTTGCCGTACCCAGTAATAAGTTGAACTGCTTGATGAGACAATTCAACGCCTTACTTCATCAATTTAGAAATGTAATGTTTTTTTGTTCATAATCCTGTCTATGATTACTCCCATATTTTTGCCCTTTCTATTATAATATCTGAATTTATATCATTTTTAATTTAATTGAATAATTTATTAATTTTAATTACATCTACCGTAATTTTAGTGATTTAAAATAGTAAATTTATCTTTTTTTTAATATTAATATATTAAATAATAATAAAAATTTATAGCAACAATAAATTACAAAATAAAAACTTAATACATTAACAGTTCATCATCATACTTTTTAAACTATATTTAATCTATATTTAAAAATAGAATAATAAATGAACGATGTATATTTTTTTGTCTGAAAATTGATGAGGACTGACATGTTTAGTATTTGATGCGATGAATTTCTAAATCTTGAGTTTCATTGTTAATCTGTCGTTTTATATGCAAACTGCGTCCAGACTATTTGATGAACCTAGATGGTGTAACTTGCATTATGCGTGTACAAGTTATGTACAGCCATATATTCTATTATTGTTACAAAGAACATTGTCGCTGCTCGAGCAAAATATAACAATAATCTGCATAGAAATTATATTCTCTCCGTTCCAAAATAATTGTTTTTTTTACCCATTGACAATTTGTTTAAGATTAATTATTACTGTCGTCATTACAAAAACTACCCAAAAAGTCTATATTCGAACAAAAATACACTAATTTTGCTTACATCCCTTTCAATTATTAAATTAAACGAGTATTTTTCTATTGAATGAATATTTTTTATCAATATATCATTTTCTAATAATATATTTGAAATTTCGTAGCAAGAAATATCCTTCATATTAAATTTTACGGTAAGTGTTGTAGCAGTATCAACATTCAATCTTGATTTCTCATTTGTCCAAAAATCATTAGCAATAGAAAAAAATGGTACTGAAAAACATTACAATACAAAGAGTATTGATCCAGTATTGATTGAGTTCATACTTCAACAGTTTATAAAGTATTGGATGAAATAATCGCGAAAAAACTAGACAATATATTCGTTATATTGCAGAAGTTCATAAAAGAGGCAACGATTACAAGCTTCCTCATATGAGCAACGACAAACTGCGTTTGCACGGAATTATTAGCATACAAGGAACTTAACTATAGCTTAGTTAAGAAAATACACTTTATATATCCCTTTGCATATTTTTTTTATGAAATTGTGAACTTATTTTGGAAAGGAGAATAATATTATTTTTTTATCACAAATATATATGATATTTTCAAAAAATATTCTATTAAAACAAGTTCAAGGTAGTAGTGTTTATGTAACGTTAATATAATATTTCGTTATAAATATTAATACACTTCGATTATACTGATTGAACTCTCGGAAGTTTATAAGTGGAAAAGTTTTGATATTAACCTATCTCCGCGTCGCACAATATTTGATTTTTATAGTCCGTTTTTTCAAGAAATATTATTATAAATATTAGAGAAAAATATAAATATTTGTTAAACTGTCGGATTTCTTTTATGAACAGTTTAACAGAATGTAAAATCAACTATAGAACGAACTACTATTTAACAAAATGTATTCAGTATATATGTTATAATACGTACTTACTTATTTCATAGCTGTTCTCACATTATTTAGATTACCAAATGTATTGGAAATAAAGTTTTTGTGACGCTTATTACTAAGTAATATTCAGATACAGTGGGTCGTAAACCGTCTGCAACTATAAAAGCAATTTCACTTGGTTTTGCTTTTTTATTGAAACATTATGTATATGGATTTTTAATTTTTTTTTAATTAAATCGTCCTCTCTTTTATCGTCAAAAATATTGTTATTATCTCATAAAGTGGACGTTGCTGAGTTTAGTGTCATGAAACGAAGAAAGGAAAATAACATTTTAATGCTTTGTTATATTAGAGTATACAATTACTTTTGCTAATTCTATTCTTCTCACAATAGGCAATGAAGTAAAAGCTTTTCTTAAAACAAAGCATGTTTTATAAATTTATTATCAACTTATAACTTTTTTTATTTCTATAATGTTAATGAGATTTAAGATTTTTAATTTTATATGTCTAATTTAATAGACATAAAACAATTAATAATTTTCATGAAAATGGGAAAATAACTTCAAGTGATAATACGCATTATAAATATTATATAGAAATAAGTAAATATAGATGTCAAGGCAGTCAAAGTTACAGTTATTAGAAAAATATCCAAGATAGATGAAAGTGTTCCTAATTCGAGGATCAAGTAATTTGTATATCAAAAACGGGACGTAATAAAAGTTCTCATACTCGAATTAAAGAAGATATTGTTTTGACTAAATGAAGAAAAGAAGACCAAACTATTGAAACTATTGTTGATCGGTCAGTTTTGAATGATATAAAAAAAGGTTTCAAAGCACTATTTCATAATATTTTTGGAAAGTAGACTTTCTGACCCTGGTTTTGGTGTTACAAAGTATACATGCAATGTGTATACCTTCAGTCTTATTTATTTTTTGATCAAATAAATAAATAGAAAGCTGATGGGTATTATTTCATTTGTTTACTTATGTTTTATTTAATTTGTATTTTTATTTATTTGGTACTAATGAAAACTAATTGCAAATAAAAAATATTGGTAATAATAATCATTTCAGGATTTATGAATATAAAACAAAAATACAGGCAATTCAAAATATAACTTCTAATGATTTGGAACTAAATATATACAAATATAAATATTTACTTTCAGGTAATTCAAAACATTGTTAGTCTGGAACAGCAAGAAAATAACTTCGTTTCATAATTCAAGATCCCATTTCTGCTTTCACAAAAAACATATAAAAAATAATAATATAATATAATCGATCAATATCTATAAATAATAATTGCGTGCTTAAAATACTTTACATAAATAGTATTTTATATAAATCGTTTATAAGTTTCAGAACATTATTTATCTTTTTTAATTGTTTAGTAGATTATGTATAAAGTTGTTGAAAAATGATTTAGAATGATGATACAAAACCAAAAATAAAATAAAAATAGTTATTTAAAGTCATAGAATTATATGTTATGTTATATTTATAGACAAAATCGGATAATGTAAGAACCGATAAACAATAGATAAATTATTAAAACAAGTGCCGCACTCTTATTATATATATATAATTCATTTTAAAAAGATAAATGGAATATAAATCTCAGAAGCTTACATATGATTTATAAAATAATTTGCAAACTCATTTTGGTCATGGAAGAAATTTACTGAAAAACGACTTTGGAGTGGCAGAGTCGCACACAATAAAATTGTTTACGGAGAGACAGGCATTACCCCACTTCACGAACGTGCTCAAAATATTAACTATGAAATTTAAAGGTGAATATAACTGAAACAAAAATCTTAAAAGAACTTCAACGCATACAAGAGAATAAACGGTTTCCACCACTAAACTCTGTATCTAGTGAATTTAAATTAACACTTTTTTATTAAATAAAAAAAGAAGATAAATCTTATATAGAGTAGTTTTAACCAGTTCCTCTAATTTTTTTGTTTACATTTAAACGGTAAATATTTTTTGAAAAAACCGTTAAATACAAAAACCAATAAACATTACATTGTGAAAAACTTTATGTATTAAATGCAAAATTTATTGATAGAAATAAATAATAACAAATACGAAATACGAATTTTATACATACCAAAAAACATTCGCAAAAAACTTTTTTAAATATTCCAGTTATTACTGAGAATTAAAATGTGAACGCACTAGTCAAAACGGATCTAAATCACTTAAATTTGATCGAATAGTTTTCAAATAAATTCAAATAAATTCAACTAATATAAATTATAATTATCTTATTGATAAATACTAGTAAGTTATGCTCAAATTGTACAAAAAATTGGACAACTAGTAGCAGTATTTTACGCAGTCATAAATTTATGGGTAACATCAATATTAAGTAATGTGCTCTTGAAGAAATATATATATTATTGTGTTAATAATGTCAATATCATGTTCCAAAAAACAAAATTTCAATATTTAAATCAATACAACTTTTATGACATATTATTTCAATCGATAAAATCGTTCAATCATATCTAATACGCTGTTCTATTTAGTCCTGCTGTCCTTCATAAATTTTGACGTATTATTAAAGATTTTAATTTTTGAGAATCGGATTTTTGTTATAATTGGTAAAACATCTTCATGTCTTTCTATTTCCGAGTCAAAAATAATTACCGAAATTACCGTTATTTCTTAAAAAAAATTACGGGTAATTTCGATAATCATATCATATAGAAGCCCTAATCATGACTGATCTCAGTCGGAATATCGTGAGGTATCGCTGCACAGAGTATAATTTTGACTCAAATTAGTGCCAATAAATAATAGATAATATTGGTGTTATTTATGAATGTTTACTTAAATATATAAAAACTGTTGAAAAATACGATTTTGGTCTCTCATCTCAGATCGGAATGATTTTTGGATAAAACAGAAAGGAAATAACAGAAACGCTAAGATAAAGAGGTTAGGGTCGAAAGATCTATAGAAAATAATAAAAATCCTCTTGAATAAAGTTTAAGTTTGACATAAAGAGCAGTTTCGAAAGAGACCCTTGGATTATGGTCCGTGTGATGTATATAAAGAAGGGCCCAAAGAAACCCTTCAAGAAGTACCGACTCCATTTATTGCCGTAACAACTGGCATCGTTTGCGAGGCTATGATAATTAACAGTTAGTGCATGTACAAAAACCCTGCTAATTTGACCCTCAAATAGAATATTACTTAAATTAATTGCTTCATTACATATTTAATAAAAATGAAGTAAATAATAATGAAAATATATTTCCATAATATCGTAGATAGAATAAAGGAAACTTATTGCACAGACATCTACATCGAGTTTGATATAAGTTCACGTAATAAGATTTCATTCGAAGTTTCTAATTAAGTTCGTATCAGAACCAATTGTGAATTATTAATAAGACTTCAGCTAAAAACTGACACAGTTTCAATTTTCCAGCCGTTCAATAACGAACATAAATTTAAATTACACGATTCATAAATGTCCTGATAAATGCAAATTTTGCAAATGGAAGTAGCCTTTTTTATATAATTGCCTGCACTAAATTAATCCAATGTGCGTTTGTGCAACATTTTCGCTCGCTGGGCGTAAATACATTGGTCAATAAGCGTACGGTCTGAGCGGTTCGAATACTACTACCACGCTTGTTATCATTATTATTATTATTCTTGTTATAATGTAAAAGTGGACATTGTAACGTGAACATTTTGTGTCATTGACAGTTGACGCACCCCTTTTGCGTGTTGCTCTGTCAGTGAAACAATTAAGTTTTAAGTTTTGCGTTAAATTATGCGTTTCGAATGATGTTATTTAACTGGCATGAACGATACACGAGGGGAAGGCTCGTGTTCATCCATCTACGGAAAATCTTGTTTTACACGACAGGTTGTTCATCAATTATGCAATCGCATAATCACTGGTTCACGCCATTATATTATCATTCGCATTGACTTTATTCAGTCTATATGTCAACCCCTCTTTAGAATTACCTATGAATTAAAATAATGTTGACGTTTTTGAAGTTATCTATTAATAAAAATTGGGATAACATTAGTTATTGCTATGATATCACATATTCAAGTTACGAAACGTTAAAAATTCTATCTATGGTTTTATTTTATAAAGATTCATTTTCAACATTTCAAATTCCTCATAACATTTTTGTACTTCTTCATGTTCTCAGTTTTATTTTTTATGAAATTTGTTCTTTCAGCTTAACGTTTACTTATTATATCTCTCTCAACTACAACATTTTTAATGTCTCAAGGATAACCATAATAACTTAGTATACATATCTTTTTTTTTTTAAAATAATGTTTTTTATTACACTGGCATCAACTGCAATTGATACCAAATGTACATGAATTTCAACATCAAAATATTTGTTCATAAGAACATGTTTCATACTGATATTTTAGCTCTAAACATTTTGTAATAAATATATAAAATACAAAACTATTCGCTTGTCTATAAACAAACTTGTCTATAAAAAATTTATAAAGATATATTCAAAGTGTAGTCCCTGTTTTATATCAGTCATATATAAGTCAGATATTTAATTAGTTAACCAATGTACATTAGAAAGTGCGCCAGCTCTTGAAGGGTTAATTTTTCTATTTAATAATTAAGTCTGTATTTAATTATGTAATTTTATGGTTAATGCATGTTGTTAATAATTATTGTTATGTAGACGATATATATAAAAAAGTATTTACTATAATTATAAGAACCAGTCTTTGATATTAAAAAATCATTTTTATAACGTTTGCGTTTTATTTTGTTTTGTTGGGCGGAAAATGAAAATTTCGCGAGGAAATTCTCTTCTGAATCTACAGAGTCAATAGCCCTCATTAGACTTTTTAATTACTTTTCTCCCCATCCGGTTATTTTTTCTTTGCGTCTGCTGATTTTTCGCTTCCTTTTTTTATCACTCGTCCATTTCGCTCTCTTTCTATCTGTCGCAGTATTTTAAAAATGCTGTTCTGAGTGCCACTAAGTCAGTTGCAAATACTGTAGTCTCTTGAACTATACCAACTTGTTTATTCTTGGAAAGGACTTTTCTACTTTAAAAGTGATTACGATGTACCAGTAAAATTATTACAATTTCCTTAAAAATAATTATGAATTTTAATAAATAAAGAAGTCTAAAAATCAATGTGAACTTTTATTTTATACAAAATTTAAAGAGATTTTTAAAATAATTGTTGGACTGTTTTTCTGAACTCTAGTAGGTTGCTTTCACACTTATAATTAGAAATTACCGCCGTCGTATTTTTTTTGGCATACAAAAAACAATGAATGTTGAATATTTCAATTAGTGTGGGAATTGAAGCGTATTATTCAGTAAAGTAAATATAAATATGTAGTAAAAAATTGAGTGATACTATATTGTACTTTGACCAGATATTGCGCCGAGGATAAATATGGAAACACATACTGAAACAAATTGAAATGTAATTTAGTATAAAAATTGAAAGTGAGAATAAAACCTGAATATTTTGAATCAACTAAATTTAACATTTTAGGGCTCAAAATAATATCTTGTTTTACAATCAAATACGTATGTTGAAAAGATGTAAAACGGGTCCTGTGTAAAAGTTTTTTTAAAAGTTATATAATTGTATACTTTTACCTGGTATGAAATATTATTGTGGCAAATACCTTGCATAGTTCGGATAATAGGTTCAGAAAATAATTCGGACTTTAGTGAAGCCGTAATGTAATTTGTATGCTTCAAGACTATCAAGATTCTCTTATTTTCATTATATGCCGAAACTTTGATGACTCTTAGTTAAAATTTCAATACGTTCGAGTAGATATGACGTTCAAATGTTGTAACTTACCATATATATTAAGTCTAGCAGAATGCGAAGTTTTGCCAGCCCTGTTCTCCGCAGAACATGTGTACTCTCCACCGTCTTCGACCATCACATGGCTGATGTTCACGTGGCTAATTACGTCTCCATGCACGGTCACATATTGTCCAATTACGAACCTGCAACAGCAATAGCAATACCTTAGCAATAATCAGTAATCGTGTCAGATTGATACACTTCGTCTTTCCTTAAGTATATTTGCTTACAAATCTCGATGTAAACGCATTGAATAAGGGCATGAGGGCGTGAGTGTATTATAAGATATTTACGTGCTGCCTGATTTGAATGAGACGACCCCCTTCCAACCCGCCATTGCCTTTTATACCAACGCAGTTAGAAAAGTTTCTCGCCAGATCTGCAAGATTCCTTTTCATTTTATATCGAGTCATTCATGCAGAGCTACCAGAACTTTTCATCTTCATGTTTGTAAAGGGCCTTTTCAAACGGCAAGTCAACAAATTGTGCCAATTTATAAAGCATCTTCGAAATCCTCCTTTCGCACTCTCTATCTGGGTTTCTTTTTTATATACAGTTTTCTTCTTCGCTTCTACGTTTGCTTGTCAACATAGCTCACGAAAAATGAATTCGGTAATGGATTTCTTTATCATTCGACCGTATAATTCGGGTGAAACCGTTTGCGTGTAGAGGGGTTTGTTTCTAGGTGTGTGTGTGTGCGTGAGTGTGTGAAGGGTGGATGAGGAAGGTTTAAGGGTTTTGCGAAGTGGGGGCGGTGCGTAATTAGGACGTATATCTGACCTTCCATGACTGGGTAGAGGAAACCCATCTAGAGTCCAGGATATTTGCGGTGTCGGATTTCCAGTTGCGCTACATTTCAGGGAGACAGCTGGGCCGGGTTGGAGCGTCTGCTCTATGAAGCTGTAAATAAGGACCGGAGGGGCGTCTGAAAACAAACAAACAAACGTAAAAAGAAAATCTTAAAATCCACCATCTAAATTTACGCGTTTCTATTTGCGCTCGGTGTGCGTTAAATCAGCTCGGTTTATCCGTGTTGTCGAACAACCCTCGTCGTCACAGATATACTCATTCTATGCACATATAGTATACGATACAGTGAGTCGCTGCAATCAAATGCAATTTACGTTCTCGCCTAATAAATAATTTAATAATGAATCTAACTGGAATCCACTTCGACACTAATTCGCGTTTAGTCCTTGGTTGGTCTGGAATGAGCCCAACCACCCTCGACCTATCTACTAAGATGACTTAATTCAATTCCTCATTAGACGGCATGATATTCGTGACTGCTTAAATTGTTAAGTGCTGTGACTTACATACATATCTTGAAACGCACGATGAAGAGTAGCAAGGTATGCTTTTCTTCTTTCATATTGGATAGGGTTGGGTTGACGTGGTCTCAAGAGAGTATCACTCTCTCTCTCTCGCTCGCTCTTTGTATTTGAGTGAGAGAGTGCAGAGGGCGCATTTCCTCTTTTTTTTCTTTAAGAAATAGTTCGTCATAAACTATTCACGCTTACGTTACGTCTAAGTACTTCGCTACGCGACAATTAAGCCCTTAACACAAAAGGGAATATTTACACATAGTAATCTTTACTCTTTAAAGAAACGCGCCGAGTACTTTTCATGCTCGAGGGTCTATTATGCAGATATTATTATCGCAAGTGCTTTACAGTACATACATATGTATGTAAATTATTATACCATATTTGTAGTGAATATGTTGTCATACACATATTATGGTAAACTTAATAAAACATAAGATTTCTATATGTTATGGTTAAATTTAAAACTTGTTTATGAATTATATATATAGTAAAAATTCGTTTTTATCAATATACAATATTATTAGATTATATTTGTTATAGTTATAAACAAAATTATAACAAAGCTTATATACTACTTTATTAATTATTAAAGTTAACAATATAACATATATACTTTTTTATGTCGTGTAATTTTTTATTTAC